ATTTTGACAGTGAATTTATCTCTGACAACATTAATTTTTGATGTAAATAACTGACAACTGTGCTCCAAATTTTCAGAAGATAAAACATCTCCCCAGTCCAAGTTATGTATCTCAGTATTAAATGTGTCCTGCTTACATTTAGGTATACAAAGAGCATTATTGCGACAGGATGATATATTATTCTTGAATCTATTTTTAGTTAATTTCCTTGCCACCAGAGTTAAGTTGTGGTCAGATAAACCAGTGATAAGATTGTAACTTTTTATTATCCTTTCTGGTTTATTACTAAAAAAAAGATCGAGTTGTGTACTTGAACGTTTTGTGATTCTAGTTGAGCCTTTTATCAGCTGTTCTAAATGAAATTTATCTGTAATTGCTTTTAACTTTCTCCTCTTTAACTTGTCTTCCCAGTTAAGATTAAAATCCCCCATCAGAATTATTTCTTTATTATGGTCACATTCTTTAATAATGTTAGCAAGTTCTGTATAAAATGTATCATTAGCAGTTGGGGGTCTGTAGAGACCTATAATAATGAATGACATTTGCTGAGACAAGACGACTTTTAGTGCAACATACTCAAGGGAGATAGCTGGCTTAAAAAACATACGTTCACATTTGATTGAGTCTTTTACATACATAAGTACCCCACCCCTCTTCCCCCAGTCCTGTCTCGCCTAAAGCATTGGAAACCATTCATTGTAAATACATTGATGGGAGTAGAATGTTGAAGCCATGTTTCAGATATGCACAAAAAGTCCAAGTTTGAATTAGCTAATAAATGAGTCAACTGTTCGGTTTTGGAGATGATACTTCGGATGTTTAGGTGAGCACCCAAAAGCCCTCTTGGTTTCCGCTTCGGATCCCAAACGACCTTTGCGTGATTAACAGTTTGAAAAGTTTGATAAGCGATATGTTTTTTAACAGCAGGATTGATGTATCCAACATCATTAGGAGCAGAATTTTCAGGCTGACACTTCCCCGTTATCACCGCCGTTGTACTGGCTAGCTTGTCAAAAACCACGGCCGAGGCATCTACCCCAGTTATGGGGATACACGGTACAGGTATTCCACAAAAACCCACCTCCTCGGGCGCCCTCGTCACAGTCGCCGCCGAAGAGCGTCCAGCACCACTGACCTGTGATGCACTCCGAGTGACCACCGGTCCCGGGTTGAGCTGCACGTCCCCGGACAGTAGCAACAGAAGGAGTAGCACACTGTGGACCTTCCGCGCTGGTGAGATAAATTCTCGCTGTTTTTTGTGGTTAAAGTGATCGATCGAGGCACATCCATTACGTAAAACAGATGAGTAGATGGCATAGAGTCCAGCCAGGTTGTGATGGTAAGATTTAGGCCGAATGATTGTGACAAAGTTTGAGTGCAGAGGCCAGTGTTCCGTCCCATTTACCAGTTCCGCTTGTGTCTTCCAAGACAGGTCGATTCGTAGTAGTGGAGAACCGACCGTGGTAAACAGCAGCAAAGTTATGAACAGCACGTTATAGATTTTCTGCCAAATCGCGGTTTTGTTGTGTGAACGCAGCTGGCATTGTTTTCGTGCCGTCGCCATCATATTGTTTATATTGTTGAAAAGACGGATGATACAGTTCGAGCTGACTCGACTACAACAGGTGATCGAACGCGGTCACCGAACGCGTCAAACAATTGGTCACCGAACGCGTCAAACACGTCGCGTCTAGATAGACCGACCCAGGTCTGAACCAGTCTAAGACAGCACTCGATAGACCGACCCAGGTCTGAACCAGTCTAAGACAGCACCTGATAGACCGACCCAGGTCTTAACCAGTCTAAGACAGCACCTGATAGACCGACCCAGGTCTGAACCAGTCTAAGACAGCACTCGATAGACTGACCCAGGTCTTAACCAGTCTAAGACAGCACCTGATAGACCGACCCAGGTCTGAACCAGTCTAAGACAGCACCTGATAGACCGACCCAGGTCTGAACCAGTCTAAGACAGCACCTGATGGACCGACCCAGGTCTGAACCAGTCTAAGACAGCACCTGATAGACCGACCCAGGTCTGAACCAGTCTAAGACAGCACTCGATAGACCGACCCAGGTCTTAACCAGTCTAAGACAGCACCTGATAGACCGACCCAGGTCTGAACCAGTCTAAGACAGCACCTGATAGACCGACCCAGGTCTGAACCAGTCTAAGACAGCACTCGATAGACCGACCCAGGTCTGAACCAGTCTAAGACAGCACCTGATAGACCGACCCAGGTCTGAACCAGTCTAAGACAGCACTCGATAGACCGACCCAGGTCTGAACCAGTCTAAGACAGCACTCGATAGACCGACCCAGGTCTGAACCAGTCTAAGACAGCACCTGATAGACCGGCCCAGGTCTGAACCAGTCTAAGACAGCACCTGATAGACCGACCCAGGTCTGAACCAGTCTAAGACAGCACCTGATAGACCGACCCAGGTCTGAACCAGTCTAAGACAGCACCTGATAGACCGACCCAGGTCTGAACCAGTCTAAGACAGCACCTGATAAACCGACCCAGGTCTGAACCAGTCTAAGACAGCACCTGATAGACCGACCCAGGTCTGAACCAGTCTAAGACAGCACCTGATAGACCGACCCAGGTCTGAACCAGTCTAAGACAGCACTCGATAGACCGACCCAGGTCTGAACCAGTCTAAGACAGCACCTGATAGACCGACCCAGGTCTGAACCAGTCTAAGACAGCACTCGATAGACCGACCCAGGTCTGAACCAGTCTAAGACAGCACCTGATAGACCGACCCAGGTCTGAACCAGTCTAAGACAGCACCTGATAGACCGACCCAGGTCTGAACCAGTCTAAGACAGCACCTGATAGACCGACCCAGGTCTGAACCAGTCTAAGACAGCACCTGATAGACCGACCCAGGTCTGAACCAGTCTAAGACAGCACCTGATAGACGACCCAGGTCTGAACCAGTCTAAGACAGCACCTGATAGACTGACCCAGGTCTGAACCAGTCTAAGACAGCACCTGATAGACCGACCCAGGTCTGAACCAGTCTAAGACAGCACTCGATAGACCGACCCAGGTCTGAACCAGTCTAAGACAGCACTTGATAGACCGACCCAGGTCTGAACCAGTCTAAGACAGCACCTGATAGACCGACCCAGGTCTGAACCAGTCTAATGCCGAGTTCAGACTGCATGATTTTAGCCACGATTTTGGCTCGCCGACAGGTTTTGAGAAATCGCCGACAAATGCCCGAAATCACAGGCAAATCGGCGCTCGTTCACGCGAGTGACAATCACGCAGTGTGAATGAACAAAGATGCGAACTGAGAGAATCACCGACGAGTCGCCGACGCCCGTGAGATATTTGGCATGCTAAATATCTGGACCTGTCGGCAATTCAAAATCCTGCTGTGTGAAAAGTGTTTTGACTGAAAACTACATCGGCGATCACCGGCAGCCAGTGAGAGAGCAAGATACAGAGCAGCAGGGAGTTCGGGGAGGAGTTATAGATCACATATCAACATGATATGGCATTGTTTCAACAAAAAAAGCTTCTTCTCGGTCTATTTGGACACAATAAATGGAAGAAAAATTAGTAGAAATTTGGCAGGAGCACTCGTGTCTGTTTCACCAGCTGTACCACAACCGGGTCGAAAAAAAAAGTCTCACGTGAGAACTCCGGTCTTGCACGTGTGGTGTCGCGCGTTGTTTCCTTTTCATATCTCACGCGTGTTTGTTGTGAAATGTAGTTTGCGTGCAGCGTGAGTCTGTCGGCGATTTTTCTAAAGTCATGCAGTGTGAAACCTTCTGTCGCCGATCCATCGTCCAGTGTGAACACAGCAGCGACTGAATGCTGGCCAAGATAGTCATGCAGTGTGAAAAGAGCAGCGACCTGACTATTTTGAAAATCGTGCAGTCTGAAAGAGCCATAAGACAGCACCTGATAGACCGACCCAGGTCTGAACCAGTCTAAGACAGCACCTGATAGACCGACCCAGGTCTGAACCAGTCTAAGACAGCACCTGATAGACCGACCCAGGTCTGAACCAGTCTAAGACAGCACTCGATAGACCGACCCAGGTCTGAAGTCGGTCGAGTAGAACCTTATAATCAACTGTGTCAAAAGCATAGACTGTAAAAAATATGGACAAAGCGTCTGTGACGTTACCCATAGACTCCCCGAGGAACGGGTTTGAGGCTGTTTATGGGGGGTATGGGCGGCGCCATACTGGATAATCTTGGGAAATACAAAATACAAAAGTTTCAGAAAGGATACAGAGGTGGTATGATGCGTTGTGTCAGATCATGGCCGAGACGTCAAATTCACTCGGCGCAGCCCGTTATCAGCTGTCAATCAAAGTTAACTGCCCTTATTTTCCATACATTTTATATCTAATTATGATCTAAACTAACAAGTAAGAAAAAAATTCACCCCCCTCACAGTTGTCAGGCACGCGGAACATATTGAAGATTACAATAAACGTCCATGGGACCAAACTGTAAACATACGAATTTATGCTGTGAAAACGGACATTATAACATGACGTCTATGGATATTTGCTCCCTTTTGGGACCGGCCTCTAGCGGATCTGAGATGGATTGCAGTTTTACACACTCCGGGTAGGCTTCATCTTTCAGATCAGAATGTTGCCGCTTGGTCAAAAGCAGGGGAACCTCTGCGATATCAGCGCAGGTACATGATCTGAGGCTCTTTCTCACAGCACTTTATTGTAATGAAGTAAAACTTGGTAAGCATCATTTCAGCTATGCCTGAGAAGTTTGAATACAACGCCATATTGTTGTCCCAATTTAATTTGTCCAAAATTAGCGTTCGTAAAAGAAGGCACTAAAAACTCTAAATTGGACCTACATTATAATCAGATTAGTAGATTGGGGATCCTATCAAACAGACAATAAACACATCTTCTTGTCTAGTCGTGAGATTTCTCTTCCTCCTTCCACCTGTATGCGTGTGAGCCAGATTGATGTTAATGAGGCGGATCATTGCTGTGTGCAGGTGACGGTCGGCGTGGCATATAAAGACATGGATCGCTCCTCAGCGGATGACAGTGCCAGACTGGGCCACAACACACACTCCTGGAGCCTCTACTGGTCCGGCAAGGCCTACTCCCTGTGGCACGCTGGGAAAGAGACGGCTCTGGCTGGTCCTAAAGCCAGGCGTGTGGGAGTGTACGTGGACCAGCAGGCCGGAGTGCTGGCTTTCTACCGTGTCTCACACTCTCAGGCCCAGGAGATCTGCTGCGTTCACACAGACTTCCACGGGCCGCTGTTCGCCAGCTTCCGCTTCTGGTCTGGAGTCGGCTCCTCCATCACCATCTGTGAGCTCAACTAGGAGGTGAACATTTTTACTGATGGAGAAGATGATGAACTCCTCCATCACTCTCCTCTATCAATCTCTGAACTCAACTGAAGAGAAGATCGTCTTTAGGGGCCGAGAAGATGAAGAATATCAGCTGTTCGACATATGCATTTATGCCTTTCTATCTGTTTCTCATCACTACTTGTCTATGAAAATAAAAGCTATACTAAGGCATCATAATGCATTTGTGATATATGATGTATTTGTCTGTAACTTGGATTCAAATAAGAGCAGATGCTTGTGATCTCTGAGCTCAGGTATTATTTGTACTCTACAAGTTTACAGTGATCTGTAACCACTAAGGATGCTTTAAACCAGTGGTGCTCAAACCTGTCCTGGAGGACCCCTTATACTGCATGTTTTCTTTGTCTCCCTAATCAAACACACCTGATTCAAGTCATAAGCTCATTATCACATGGGTTAATGAGCTAATGAGTTGAATCAGGTATGTATGATTAGGGAGACAAAGAAAACGTGCAGTGTTGGGGGTCCTCCAGGACGGGTTTGCTGCTCTGCTTTAAACGAACTGAATGGTGTGAACAACATTTGCCCTGTCTGCGAGGCCAATGCAGTCCATAAGCTGTCCATCAGAGTGATCAATCTGCACCAAAAACACTAACACACACACCGACACACAGCTTCCTCAAGGGGCTTTCCTTTTCTCCAACTCCATCTCCCTCTCTTTCCCTTTCTCCAACTCCATCTCCCTCTCTTTCCCTTTCTCCAACTCCATCTCCCTCTCTTTCCCTTTCTCCAACTCCATCTCCCTCTCTTTCCCTTTCTCCAACTCCATCTCCCTCTCTTTCCCTTTCTCCAACTCCATCTCCCTCTCTTTCCCTTTCTCCAACTCCATCTCCCTCTTTCCCTTTCTCCAACTCCATCTCCCTCTCTTTCCCTTTCTCCAACTCCATCTGCCTCTCTTTCCCTTTCTCCAACTCCATCTCCCTCTCTTTCCCTTTCTCCAACTCCATCTCCCTCTCTTTCCCTTTCTCCAACTCCATCTCCCTCTCTTCCCTTTCTCCAACTCCATCTCCCTCTTTCCCTTTCTCCAACTCCATCTCCCTCTCTTTCCCTTTCTCCAACTCCATCTCCCTCTCTTTCCCTTTCTCCAACTCCATCTCCCTCTCTTTCCCTTTCTCCAACTCCATCTCCCTCTCTTTCCCTTTCTCCAACTCCATCTCCCTCTCTTTCCCTTTCTCCAACTCCATCTCCCTCTCTTTCCCTTTCTCCAACTCCATCTCCCTCTCTTTCCCTTTCTCCAACTCCATCTCCCTCTCTTTCCCTTTCTCCAACTCCATCTCCCTCTCTTTCCCTTTCTCCAACTCCATCTCCCTCTCTTTCCCTTTCTCCAACTCCATCTCCCTCTCTTTCCCTTTCTCCAACTCCATCTCCCTCTCTTTCCTTTCTCCAACTCCATCTCCCTCTCTTTCCCTTTCTCCAACTCCATCTCCCTCTTTCCCTTTCTCCAACTCCATCTCCCTCTCTTTCCTTTCTCCAACTCCATCTGCCTCTCTTTCCCTTTCTCCAACTCCATCTCCCTCTCTTTCCCTTTCTCCAACTCCATCTCCCTCTCTTTCCCTTTCTCCAACTCCATCTCCCTCTCTTTCCTTTCTCCAACTCCATCTCCCTCTCTTTCCCTTTCTCCAACTCCATCTCCCTCTCTTTCCCTTTCTCCAACTCCATCTCCCTCTCTTTCCCTTTCTCCAACTCCATCTCCCTCTCTTTCCTTTCTCCAACTCCATCTCCCTCTCTTTCCCTTTCTCCAACTCCATCTCCCTCTCTTTCCCTTTCTCCAACTCCATCTCCCTCTCTTTCCTTTTCTCCAACTCCATCTCCCTCTCTTTCCCTTTCTCCAACTCCATCTCCCTCTCTTTCCTTTTCTCCAACTCCATCTCCCTCTCTTTCCCTTTCTCCAACTCCATCCCCTCTCTTTCCCTTTCTCCAACTCCATCTCCCTCTCTTTCCCTTTCTCCAACTCCATCTCCCTCTCTTTCCCTTTCTCCAACTCCATCTCCCTCTCTTTCCCTTTCTCCAACTCCATCTCCCTCTCTTTCCCTTTCTCCAACTCCATCTCCCTCTCTTTCCTTTTCTCCAACTCCATCTCCCTCTCTTTCCCTTTCTCCAACTCCATCTCCCTCTCTTTCCCTTTCTCCAACTCCATCTGCCTCTCTTTCTCCAACTCCATCTCCCTCTCTTTCCCTTTCTCCAACTCCATCTCCCTCTCTTTCCCTTTCTCCAACTCCCTCTCTTTCCCTTTCTCCAACTCCATCTCCCTCTCTTCCCTTTCTCCAACTCCATCTCCCTCTCTTTCCCTTTCTCCAACTCCATCTCCCTCTCTTTCCCTTTCTCCAACTCCATCTCCCTCTCTTTCCCTTTCTCCAACTCCATCTCCCTCTCTTTCCCTTTCTCCAACTCCATCTCCCTCTCTTTCCCTTTCTCCAACTCCATCTCCCTCTCTTTCCCTTTCTCCAACTCCATCTCCCTCTCTTTCCCTTTCTCCAACTCCATCCCCCTCTCTTTCCCTTTCTCGGATGGGTGTGATATGCTGGTACTTCCGCACGCCCAACAGGATCCTAGCCGCACAGTTCTGGATGTACTGCAGTTGCTTGATGTTCTTGCTTGGGATGCCGATGAGGAGTGCATTGCAATAGTCCAGCCTGGAGGAAACAATGGCATGGACAAGATTTTCGGCATCAGGGAAAGTGAGCATTGGGGCATTTCCAGAGAACATAAAATTAACCCATAGTTTCTACAGAGGCTCGGATGAAGGAACTAAAAAATACGTTTGTGTTCATTAGTACATCCGAACACTGATCAACTGCCATGCTTCGCTCGTTTGCAAGCCATGATATCTCTCGAGGAAACAGTCAAATCTCAAAGCTATCTCTCTAGGAAAAACTAAACTCGCACCTGTGTGTTCGTACTTCCTGTTCCTAGCTCGTTTCCTCATGGTCGGGCCAAATTCTCCGGCCGGGCAAAGCAGAGAAAGGGGGGGTAACCTTTCCCCCGTATGACATCATACAGGGGAGATTCAAGATCAGCGTGTCTGAGATGCAAAGAAGAGAAAGATAGCCAAAGCTCTGTTTACACCAATTGAAAATTCTAGACACAAGGGGATCAAATACAGTCTAGGGGAATTCATATTAAAGAAAGAGCCCCTATCATAGCATTTGAAATGTTCCTATTTTTGTTTTAGGAGTTCCCAAAAACAGTTTAACATGCATGCAAGGATAAAAAAAACACTTTATTTGTCTTATAATATGCATTTATTTTTAACTGATTTGCTCACCGACTCCCAAATGATTCGTACAACGATTCATTTATGCAAACCACTCCTTTGCGTGATGCTAATCGGCGGTGATTGGTCAGATGACTCAGTCAGTTATTGTTTGTTAGCATAACGCATAAACATATTGATAAAGCACTGCAGTACTACAAGACGCTCTATTCTTTATGACAACTCCAATAACAGCGACAAACATTTCACATATTTAAAAAAAACTGACATTGGAGACCTAGAAGCTGCACTGAGCATAACTTACACACACACACACACACACGCGCGCGCATACATACTTATTGTGTCTTCCCTCCTCGCGCCCGATGCTACAAAACCGTTCAAAACCCATAAAGCAACAATTATTAATAATACTTACAGGTTGTGATTCGGAGGAGGAAGCTGATCCATATACACTGGGTAAGTAAGTTACTGAGCCCTCCTTCAGGAACATCCGCTTGCGAATCCAAATTTGAATTCATTTATGTTTTTGAAAGATTCGTAATTAAAATGATGAGAACGCAAGTTTCCGAGGGGCGCTCCTGTAAAAACTAAAGTGGGTGAAACTTCATGGACAACATGTGCTGTTCGCGGTTGTATGTATAACCGGACTAAACCAATTCAGTAGCTTAAACGTGATTGTTTTGAACATAAGCCGAAAACGAAATCAGAGTGATCCTGCCAGAGCCCGTCTCTGATCCTGCCAACGACTGTAACGTTAGTTTCCATCACCTCCCAAAAGACGACGAATCTTCCTGTGTACATTTGTTTAAATTCTTAATGTTCTATAAACTCTCTCAGCATGTGTTTGGCTGTTCGTTACTGATGTTACACCTAAACTAAGGATCAAAGCCTGTGTTGACAGAATACCAAATGTGCCAGTTAATGTATTACAGTAGCACATTCATTTATAATTTTGAATAAACTCCAAAGCACAATTGCTAAGTGTGTATTTTTTATTTTAATTGTTTGTCAGCTCGCACAACTTTCTGTCACCATGCCTTGATGAGTATTGATTATTAATAATGTTATTATAATACTCCCAATCAACTACTGCGGAGGGTAAAGGTACTGTTATTTCACCCTTTTTAATTTCGTTGAGGTTGTGTTCCCACATCGTTAGCTAGTTTGGATCGCTATAACTTGAATGACTGTCAACTGTTGAATGAACGAGTGTCAAGTATGTCAAATCGCGCTTTGTTTACTTCCAACCGGAAGTCGCGCCCACTTTTGACGCAATTGGGGCGTAGGAAACTTGTGGATACTGTTGTGGTATCATTGCAAATATGAACTCTAACCACCGATTCTTCACATGCTCGTCCCTGGTAAATGAAAACAAAGTGGCTGAACTATCTTTGCATTGTAAAACATCTTCTCCACATGATGCTATGATGAAGTATTTGAATGTGTAGACTTCAAGTTTACACTTCCGTCTGCGCGCGCAGTAACTGGGCGCGGCCAATATGTATCTACGTCACGACGAAACAGCTAATGACTCGTTTCAAAAACAATTCATTTCACAGACTCAGAGTCGACTCTCACTTTTGAAAGACAATAACTTTATATACGGTGCACTTTCAGATATAAATCTGTGCAGGATGTTTTCATTCCCTTAGAGCTATATTCCACACCATATGAACAATCATTTTCAAAAATCCATGATAGGGGCTCTTTAATGTTAAAAAACCTCAGAAAGTGAAAATTTCATGTCAGGGGACCTTTAATGACTCTCCCTCATGTCGTTTTTAAGCCTGTCAGACCTCCGTTCATCTTTGGGACACAGTTTAAGATATTTTAGATTTAGTTCAAGAGCTTAATGTCCCACCATTGGAAATGTGTGTACGGTTTACTGTCCTTGTCCAGGAAGGATATAAAGACATCATCAAAGTAGTCCATGTGACATCAGTGGGTTAGTTAAAACGTTTTGAAGCATCGAAAATCCATTTTGGTCCAAAAAAAAAGTGATAATAGGAAATTAAAGTAACAGATTGTTCGGCTTTATGGCAGCTCTAGAATAAAGTTAATTTACAGATAAAGTTAAGTTTAATTTATTCACTTCTGTCTCAATGATCATTAGTTATTACTAACTGATGAAGAAAATAACTGATGATGAGAAGAAGCTCATTTTTTAAAAGCGTTTTCAAAACCAATTATTCATTTATGTAATATATCATGTTCAGCTCGCTGTTGTGCTGTCACGTGATAAGTTACATTTTATTGATTTTATTCTATAAATTGACAGGCATTTAAATATTTATTTATTTTATAGTTACAGATGAGACATATTTCCGTTTGAATCTCAGAATAAATGACCACACCAAAAGGAAAAGCGACGCCATGTATATATAATATATTTTTAATTTTTTTAATGTCGACGGTGACAGTGTCGCACACCGGATATGACGAGCCACATGACGCATGCGGATGTTTGTGTCAGCACGAGCACGTGACGCGGGTTGAGTTATGTCGCCGCTCCAGTTGATAAAGAATGACTCTGAACATCACGGAAATAAAACACACAAGCGATAGCGAAACACATCTCCGTCACTACAAGGTAAGAAGAGCTTATCTGTCTCTGTCCTGGCAGTTTAAGGCCATTGTGTTTCCTTTCCTTTTGGAATGAATGAGTTACAGTAGAAACGAGCTGATGTGTTATTATTAATAAACAGAGCGACGTGTTTTTGAGAACTTCCGGTCTCTCTCTCTCTCTCTCTCTCTCTCTCTCTCTCTCTGCCCTGTCAGAAACATAAATCACAGATTAATCATGACAGGTGTAGAGTGGAAATATGAACTACGCATTACAAGCCACTGTAACAGCAGTTCGTATAGCAGTGTGTGTGAATAGGGGATAGATAGCCGCTTGTTATGGCGCATGATGCTAATGATTCAGTCAGGTGTTGATTTGAAGCAGAGGTCTTCAATACTGATGTGTCTGATATGTGTGTGTGTGTGTGTGTGTGTGTGTGTGTCCCTGTGTCCCTGCAGCTCATCTGACGTGTGTGTGTCATGGCTCCTGGTCAGAAGTGTGTGGTCCTCCTCTCTCTGCTGCTCCTCTCGCTCGCCCCGCTGCTCATTCGCTGCTCCTCCTCCTCCTCCTCCTGTGGGCCGGGCCTCTCGTGGGCGGTGCGGCTCAGGTCCGGCTCGGCTCCGGCGGGAGACTCCCTGCACCGGCTGGCCCAGAGCGTGGCCCAGGAGGCGGGTCTGCAGAACCGGGGGCAGATCGGGCAGCTGGAGGGACACTACCTGCTGTGCCCGGGGCCTGAGGGTGGCGTGGACCCCGGATCGACCGCGGCGGCGCTGGACCAGAACCCTCATGTGCTCTGGCACTCGCGGGAGCAGCTGCTGCGCCGCTCCAAGAGGAGCCTGACCTTCAACGACCCCAGATACCCCAGCCAGTGGCACCTGGTGAGTGCTGCACACACACACACACACACACACGCCTGAACTGGACGGCATTGATCATGCTACCGTGACTGGCCTGGAGCGCTGCAGTCGTGAGTCGTGGTTTGGAGTCGTGATTAGGTGTTAGGTCGGTGTTAGGGGGTGGTACTCTACAATCATATGATTACAAATCTTGTGAAACGGCACACACTGCGTTCCCAGAGGAAGGTCAGCAACACACACTCACCGCATGAGAACCGAGACGCTGTCACACACACACACGCCGTGGCGGCTCTCTGCGATCGAGTGTGTGTGTGAGCGTGTTTACGGTGAACGAGCTGAGGGACTGTAGCATGTTCATATGTATCTAACTGAATCGCAGCCTCTGTGATCTCACGATAGCTCTGTGCTATATTACGATCATGAGTGCGTTAATATATCGTGTGGTCTCGTACGGGAAACGGCCACTTCCGCGGTCTACCGGTTACCGACACGGGCAAATTACAATCGAGGATTTTTTAAAATCAAGTTCTCGACTTTAAAGGGGTGGTATAATTTCACAAGATGTAAAATAAGTCTCTGATGTCCCCAGTGTGTGTGTGTAGGGTTACGGTTGCGTCTGAAACGGATCTGTCTATTGCATGTTAAAATGATCAGTTTTCGAGGGTGAGCAAAAATGCACCGTTTTTGTGTCTGTCCCTTTAAATGCAAATGAGCTGCTGCTCCCGGCGCAGGGGGCGGAGCTTCAAGAGCTCATGTCCTTTTAACACACACACACACTCACACTCTGAACATTTGAAAAACTTTTAGTTTTGATGAAGAGACTGGAGAAGAAGCGACACGTAGAAGCAACAGGACGTTTCTGAATGCTTAGAATTGATGAGTTTATGCAGCTGATGTGGAGTTAACGATCTTCAAGTCTTTGATTAGCATATTCTGTCATGATCATCTATAAATCGTGTTCCGGGGGCGGGGTTATGTAAATTCTAGGGTTTGTGATATTGTAGCTATTGTATGTTGCTTTGAACGGTGAGCGTTGTAACTTTGCAGATGTTGTTTATGCTCAGACAGCAACATTACACACAAACTGAAGTCAGAAAAGTGAAATCGTAATCAACCACCATTAATCCAGGAGTGTTTCGGCCCTAATCGCGTCCGGTTCTCTAGGAGTGTTTCAGCCCTAATCGCGTCCGGTTCTCTAGGAGTGTTTCGGCCCTAATCGCGTCCGGTTCTCCAGGAGTGTTTCGGCCCTAATCGCGTCCGGTTCTCCAGGAGTGTTTCAGCCCTAATCGCGTCCGGTTCTCCAGGAGTGTTTCGGCCCTAATCGCGTCCGGTTCTCCAGGAGTGTTTCAGCCCTAATCGCGTCCGGTTCTCTAGGAGTGTTTCAGCCCTAATCGCCTCGGTTCTCCAGGAGTGTTTCAGCCCTAATCGCGTTCTGTTCTCCAGGAGTGTTTCGGCCCTAATCGCGTCCGGTTCTCCAGGAGTGTTTCGGCCCTAATCGCGTCCGGTTCTCCAGGAGTGTTTCGGCCCTAATCGCGTCCGGTTCTCCAGGAGTGTTTCAGCCCTAATCGCGTTCGGTTCTCCAGGAGTGTTTCGGCCCTAATCGCGTCCGGTTCTCCATGAGTGTTTCGGCCCTAATCGCGTCCGGTTCTCCAGGAGTGTTTCGGCCCTAATCGCGTCCGGTTCTCCAGGAGTGTTTCGGCCCTAATCGCGTCCGGTTCTCCAGGAGTGTTTCGGCCCTAATCGCGTTCGGTTCTCCAGGAGTGTTTCGGCCCTAATCGCGTCCGGTTCTCCAGGAGTGTTTCGGCCCTAATCACGTTCGGTTCTCCAGGAGTGTTTCGGCCCTAATCGCGTCCGGTTCTCCAGGAGTGTTTCGGCCCTAATCGCGTCCGGTTCTCCAGGAGTGTTTCGGCCCTAATCGCGTCCGGTTCTCCAGGAGTGTTTCAGCCCTAATCGCGTTCGGTTCTCCAGGAGTGTTTCGGCCCTAATCGCGTCCGGTTCTCCAGGAGTGTTTCGGCCCTAATCGCGTCCGGTTCTCCAGGAGTGTTTCGGCCTTAATCGCGTCCGGTTCTCCAGGAGTGTTTCGGCCCTAATCGCGTCCGGTTCTCCAGGAGTGTTTCGGCCCTAATCGCGTCCGGTTCTCCAGGAGTGTTTCAGCCCTAATCGCGTTCGGTTCTCCAGGAGTGTTTCGGCCCTAATCGCGTCCGGTTCTCCAGGAGTGTTTCGGCCCTAATCGCGTCCGGTTCTCCAGGAGTGTTTCGGCCCTAATCGCGTCCGGTTCTCCAGGAGTGTTTCGGCCCTAATCGCGTCCGGTTCTCCAGGAGTGTTTCAGCCCTAATCGCGTATGGTTCTCCAGGAGTGTTTCGGCCCTAATCGCGTCCGGTTCTCTAGGAGTGTTTCGGCCCTAATCGCGTCCGGTTCTCCAGGAGTGTTTCAGCCCTAATCGCGTCCGGTTCTCCAGGAGTGTTTCAGCCCTAATCGCGTCCGGTTCTCCAGGAGTGTTTCAGCCCTAATCGCGTTCGGTTCTCCAGGAGTGTTTCAGCCCTAATCGCGTTCGGTTCTCCAGGAGTGTTTCGGCCCTAATCGCGTTCGGTTCTCCAGGAGTGTTTCAGCCCTAATCGCGTTCGGTTCTCCAGAAGTGTTTCAGCCCTAATCGCGTCCGGTTCTCCAGGAGTGTTTCAGCCCTAATCGCGTCCGGTTCTCCAGGAGTGTTTCAGCCCTAATCGCGTTCGGTTCTCCAGGAGTGTTTCAGCCCTAATCGCGTTCGGTTCTCCAGGAGTGTTTCAGCCCTAATCGCGTTCGGTTCTCCAGGAGTGTTTCGGCCCTAATCGCGTTCGGTTCTCCAGGAGTGTTTCAGCCCTAATCGCGTCCGGTTCTCTAGGAGTGTTTCGGCCCTAATCGCGTCCGGTTCTCTAGGAGTGTTTCAGCCCTAATCGCGTCTGGTTCTCTAGGAGTGTTTCGGCCCTAATCGCGTCCGGTTCTCTAGGAGTGTTTCAGCCCTAATCGCGTTCGGTTCTCCAGGAGTGTTTCGGCCCTAATCGCGTCCGGTTCTCTAGGAGTGTTTCGGCCCTAATCGCGTTCGGTTCTCCAGGAGTGTTTCAGCCCTAATCGCGTTCGGTTCTCCAGGAGTGTTTCAGCCCTAATCGCGTCCGGTTCTCCAGGAGTGTTTCAGCCCTAATCGCGTTCGGTTCTCCAGGAGTGTTTCGGCCCTAATCGCGTTCGGTTCTCCAGGAGTGTTTCAGCCCTAATCGCGTTCGGTTCTCCAGGAGTGTTTCAGCCCTAATCGCGTTCGGTTCTCCAGGAGTGTTTCAGCCCTAATCGCGTTCGGTTCTCCAGGAGTGTTTCAGCCCTAATCGCGTTCGGTTCTCCAGGAGTGTTTCAGCCCTAATCGCGTTCGGTTCTCCAGGAGTGTTTCAGCCCTAATCGCGTCCGGTTCTCCAGAAGTGTTTCAGCCCTAATCGCGTCTGGTTCTCCAGGAGTGTTTCGGCCCTAATCGCGTCCGGTTCTCTAGGAGTGTTTCGGCCCTAATCGCGTCCGGTTCTCTAGGAGTGTTTCAGCCCTAATCGCGTCCGGTTCTCCAGGAGTGTTTCAGCCCTAATCGCGTCCGGTTCTCCAGGAGTGTTTCAGCCCTAATCGCGTCCGGTTCTCCAGGAGTGTTTCAGCCCTAATCGCGTCCGGTTCTCCAGGAGTGTTTCAGCCCTAATCGCGTCCAGTTCTCCAGGAGTGTTTCGGCCCTAATCGCGTTCGGTTCTCCAGGAGTGTTTCGGCCCTAATCGCGTTCGGTTCTCCAGGAGTGTTTCGGCCCTAATCGCGTCCGGTTCTCCAGGAGTGTTTCAGCCCTAATCGCGTTCGGTTCTCCAGGAGTGTTTCAGCCCTAATCGCGTCCGGTTCTCCACGAGTGTTTCGGCCCTAATCGCGTCCGGTTCTCCAGGAGTGTTTCGGCCCTAATCGCGTTCGGTTCTCCAGAAGTGTTTCAGCCCTAATCGCGTTCGGTTCTCCAGGAGTGTTTCAGCCCTAATCGCGTCCGGTTCTCCAGGAGTGTTTCGGCCCTAATCGCGTTCGGTTCTCCAGAAGTGTTTCAGCCCTAATCGCGTTCGGTTCTCCAGGAGTGTTTCAGCCCTAATCGCGTCCGGTTCTCTAGGAGTGTTTCAGCCCTAATCGCCTCGGTTCTCCAGGAGTGTTTCAGCCCTAATCGCGTTCTGTTCTCCAGGAGTGTTTCGGCCCTAATCGCGTTCGGTTCTCCAGGAGTGTTTCAGCCCTAATCGCGTTCGGTTCTCCAGGAGTGTTTCAGCCCTAATCGCGTCCGGTTCTCCAGGAGTGTTTCGGCCCTAATCGCGTCTGGTTCTCTGTGTGCAGCACAACGAGGTGAAGGACGGGATGGACATCAACGTGACGGGCGTCTGGGAGCGCAACATCACCGGCGCCGGCATCACGGTGGTCGTGGTGGACGACGGGGTCCAGCACACCCTGGAAGATATTCAGCCCAATTATGTAAGTCAATCGCCACCCATTTCTTTTCTTGTGAGTGTTTTCTATATTCTTGACATTCACTTTTTGCGCACCAGTCACTGTGGGTTTCAAAAGTTACAGCCACTCGGCATTTTCACAATTACTACATCGATACCATGGAGAAAACGGGCATATAGAAATGTGTAATATTATCTGATAATTTCGCAGCTGGTATATTAGGCTGCTGTCCCTTTAAGAGGTGATGCGTGGACCCAATATACTGTTTTAGCCAATATGCTTGTCTTTATGTTCAGCACAACAGACCGCTACATCCAGGGGCGGAGTGGGACCAAAAAATGTACCGGGAAATTTCGTAGACCACCAGCCCTCGTCGCCGGCACGATTTTAATAGCCGATAGCATTTACAGTTTTACTGATTTAAAATGAACTTTGTTGTACTAGTATGCTGGAGTAAAGTTCATAAATGGTCGTTCTTTCCCATAGTAATTTCTAAAACTATGTTGGGTGGACTCTGTTCCTCTAGGGGGGTTCGGGGGCATGCTCCCCCGCAAGAACATTTTGGACATTTTAAGCTTAAATGCATCAATCTGGTGCTCTCTGAGAGATCACAATTAAGAGCTTCAACCCATGAACTGCTCGTTGAACAAAGAAAAAGCATTAATTTGTACCAGGACAATAAAGAGGGCTCAAACATCTTTTTAGTTATGAGAGTCTCAGTCTGCATTACATCATCAATGGTGTTTTAGGATGCCAAACAATTATTGTAATAATGATTTATAATTATTCCTATGATGTAATGTAAAATTCATTTATAGCCTATAAATGTAGCCTACTATGTAAATGAAAATGAGTATTTCAAAAGTATATTTTAACCTACATTACACTATAACATAGGAAAATTAAAATACTATTTTTTTCCTAATTTCTTCACTTGCAAGAAATAAACCCTTGAGCTTTTATTTAGGAGAAAACACCAGATGATCGCGAGAGCAAAGTAATCACGCAGCACAAACGGATGCTATTCTAATGTCAGTTATTATAATGGCGCAACGCCCTATATATTCATGGTTTCAATTTTAGTTCGTTAGCAAAATATAACGCTAGAGATCTTAATGTTTCCCTAGTTAATGATCTTTACATATCTGTGTTGGGAAAAGGGAGAAGAGAGAGTTCGGCAAGGCGGATTCGAACTCGCGTTCAGCGCATCAAAAAGCTGCTTTCAAGCACTTCACGCCCTACGACCTATGACCTACGCCACTGAGGCTGTTTCAAGACGGGTGTCGTTTTGCTGTAAAGACAGGCACTAGTGCAAATATACGCTCCGTTATAGAAAATGTAACAAAAAAAATGTTTTCTTTCCTTAGCTTGGGCCACGGCGAACTTCCAATAAATACATTTTATTTACATTTCGGGCCGGCCCTCGCGGCCTCGTAACACTACCGGCCCACCGGGAAAACTCCCGACTCTCCCGATTGCCACTCCGCTACTGGCTACATCGACCGCATTACTGCAGAAGCTGCACCGATCCGTCTGTCGATCTCCCGTTCCCTCACTCGTCAACAAAACCCCAAGATCCTTAAACACTTGAGGAAGGATCTCTCCACCAACCTGAAGTGGGCAAGCCATAGTCTCTTAGGCCAGCCGATAGTCCTTCCCCATGGCCTCACCAAGGCCGGGTTTTTGCCTCCAAAACCACCCGGCCAGTGTTCATTTTGACAGAAAATTTTCATTTAGTTGTAGTCATAGTCTTTTGACTAAAATGCCATTTAGTTTTAGTCATATTTTAGTCATCTGAACTGTTTTAGTCTAGTTTTAGTCTACGAAATTCAATAAGATTTTAGTCGACTAAATCTACAGTAGATTTATTCGACTAAAATATAATAGGTTTAGTTAAATTGTAATGAATTCATTTAGAATTTCTCTAAACTGTCCAAACCCATAAACCCCCGGAGATCTATTAAACGTCTATTAATATGAATGATTTTTAAGTTTGAACATGCAATACAGGAACAGATTTAACTACTGTGACTTAAAAAATATCTTACAATTAAATAAAACCACTTTTCCTAAAGTAAATCAGTCTTCTTTTCAATGAATGATATATGCATTCTTTATAACTGCTTGTATACATCATTCTTTATTCTTTCATACAGACATAGTTATTTGTATAAATGAAATACAATTAATCCTCATTTAAGCTATTAACATTAAGTGAATGCTTTCTCTTTCTTTTGTTATATTTGAATATTAAGGACACAGACCACATTAGGTTTATTACACACTGTCACTTTAAGACATCGGCTCATGTCCAATGACATGCGTATCCAACTGCACTGATCCGATACACTCTCAGCTGTTTAAGGGTTTGTGAACCGCTCTTAGGCCGTGTGTCCACCGAAGCGTTTTTATCCAGCTAGCCGCTCTGCTGAAGACGCCGTGCTTTGGGCGCTTGAGGGCGTTTTGGCTCTTTTCCGTTGAGACGTTTCGTTGCTATGATACAGAATATCCGCAGCACAGTTTGAATGTTGTGACAGTTGGTCGGTGTGGTTTAGTCCCGCCCCTCCTCCACTGTGATTGGCCGGCTGGGTAAAAAGTGACAGTGATGAGCGCTGCGTTTTATCCAAAGTTGAACATTTTTCAACTCTCGGCGACCAGTAAAAACGCCGGGTGCTCGGCGCTTCACCGTGATAAAACCGCTCAGCGCCTCATGGCGTTTAAAAAATGCGGCGCTCCCATTGAAAACAATTGAAAACATATGCCAGGCGTGTGGAAAAACGCTTTGGTCCTGTTTGCCTTGGGAGACCCTTCCAGGGGCAGATAGCCTCGGAAAACATCGCTCCTAGGGTCATTCGGGTACTCAAACCCCTCCACCACGTTAAGGTAGCAGGTCAAGGAGAGGAGGTGCCAGTTCAACTATTAATAAATAACACTCTGGGGTAAATATCACAAATGTGAAGATTTAAGTATGTAAAATCTGAAAATATTGCTTCAGAATAAATATATTTACACCACCAAACCCCCCAGCCCCTGTCCCTGATAGGACCCAAGGTTGTGTCTCATCGGCTTCTGGCTCACGAAGCAGTTCATGAAGGGATAGTTCACCCAAAAATTACTTTAATTAATTAATTACTCTCCCTCATGTCCTTCCAAACCTGTAGATCTTCCTTTATCTATATAAAGACAAATGAAGATGTGATGGAGTATGAAAGATTTCTGTTCCTCCATTGACCGCTACACAACTACGACTAAAGTCCCTGAACGCTAGTAAAGACATCATTAAAGTCACATCACACTTCTCCACTTTCTTGTTAAAATGAAAGCGTTTCCATCTGTAAAGTCTGTGGAAGCTGCAACCCATGCTTTAGTACGACTAGGCTGGATGATAATGTCACTCCCCTTCTGAAAGATCTACACCGGTTGCCAGTTAAATATAGAATTGAGTTTACAGTCCTATTACTTGTCTAAAAACCTCTACGTAATCAAATGCTGAGCTTGGCAGAACTTGAGATGTGTTGACCCTGAACATGAGAATCGTTTTGTGTGTTTTAGAGTCCCGAGGGAAGTTACGACCTGAACTCGGACGACCCTGACCCCATGCCTCATCCCGACGGACACAGTGACAACCATCACGGCACGCGCTGTGCCGGAGAGATCGCCGCCGTGTCCAACAACAGCTACTGCGCTGTGGGAGTGGCCTACGGGGGGCGAGTGGCAGGTGTGGAGAGAGATCGCTTTATTCCCTGTTACACAGAGATCTCTTTATTCCTCATTACACGTGTGTGTGTGTGTGTGTCTCAGGCATCCGGGTTCTGGACGGACCCCTCACTGACAGCATGGAGGCGGTGGCGTTTAACAAGCACTACCAGGTCAATCACATCTACAGCTGCAGGTGTGTGTGTGTGTGCCAGATCAGTCCACCACGACTTGCTGTTACATTTTATAATGTTAATTTTAGTAGAGAGCAGATAAACAATAAACAAGATAAAGCTTTAAAACAAGCTTCAATTTGTTAGTGAAGTACATTAGTTAACGTTAACTAACAGTGAGCAATATTTGTACATGATTTATTCATCTTAAAGGGATAGTTCACTTTGAAATTAATGTTTGATATGTTTTATCTTACCTCAAGGGCATCCGAGATGTGTCTTTGTTTCCACAGTATTTTCAATTTTGGTATTTTCAGGTCAAACCGTTGTTGTCTGTCAGTCATATAATGCAGGTCTATGGTCACCACCTCAAAGAGCAGCACAGAAAAGTCCAAATTAAACATGATTTAATGACTCGTAAATGTAAGTACACATTGATGGCCTAAGACACGAAACGAGCGGTTTGTGTGAGAAAACTAACAGTATTTATATCGTTTTTACCTCGTGTAATCACAGCCACGTCCAACTGATCTGAGGTCGCGGGTGATTCGGTCTGCGCATGCGCTGGAAGTGATCTCTCTTACACAGAGATTTCGGAAGTTTATCTATCACTGTGAAGATCTAAACATATTTATATACAGGAAATCACCATGGAAGACGATATAGATATATCTAAATATGTTTAGTGAAAGGTAAAACTTCTGAAATTTCTGTGTAAACAATGCGTGACGTAGACGCGCGAGAGATCACTTCCTGCGTAACGTCTGATTCAGATCAGTTCGACGGCTGTTAAGAAGAGGTAAAAACGATATAATACTGTTGGTTTTCTCACACAAACCGCTCGTTTCGTGTCTTAGACCATCAATGTGTACTTACATGTAGGAGTCATTAAATCATGTTTAATCTGGACTTCTCTGTGCTGCTCTTTGAGGTGGTGACCATAGACCTGCATTATATGACTGACAGACAAGAACAGTTTGACCTAAAAATATCAAAGTTGAAAATACTGTGGAACCAAAGAAACATCTCGGATGCCCTTGAGGTAAGATAAAACATATCATAGTTATTTCATAATCCATGACCGTATGCAGTTTGCTTGCGAGTGGTCACCTGACGTGTGTTGTGTCCTGTAGCTGGGGGCCGGATGATGACGGCCGGACGGTTGATGGACCGCATCCCTTAGGCAAGGTCAGTCTGAGTGCGCATCGCATCAGTGTTTATGAAGGTTCCCGCGGACCCTTAAAGTCTCAAATTACATTTTTAATATTTAAGTCTTATTTTTACTTATGAAAGGTCTTAAATTTTAGATTTAGATCACTTTGACTTAGACATATCTAAATGCTAAAAACTAATCTAATTAGCGTACGGATGATTTTTTTTTTATGATTCAATCTTTGTGGTTCTTACGAGAGTACGTATTGCGTAATGGAAAAAATCCCTTTTCTCGAGAATACTGAAGCCAACAAATTATCCCTTCATTTATTTAAAACACATTGCTGCACAGAGCAGACCTAGGCGAGGCGACTCGCGAGCCCATTGGCTGCTCTGCGACAAATCTGCAACCTATCGGTGGACCGGTCGTGACGTAAGCACCAATGAGGGCGCGGGCACCCTCTCACGTCTTGTCCTGCCAGTAGAGGCGCGGCTCATCCCTATATAGTCCAGATAGGTGTTCTTGGACTTTTTTTTGTTCCTAATTTAGTTTTTGTCTTATTTATATCACATTATGTTCTTATATTAGAATATCCAAGAGGGCCGTTTTCTCATGCACAATAGCAAATGTGATATTTATTTTATACAACAGTTAAATTAACAATGTTAATGTTATGATTAGCCTACTTTTTAGATACAATATTGTCAATATTGTTTATTTTATTTTGCCGAAGAGAATTTTGAAATGAAACCTTAGCAGAGTGCAACAGACGGCTGAAATCCACGCTTGCTTTTCCCGAATGAATCGGCCGTTTGAACTAATCGGCTGAACGAACGACTCCCTAAACTCACTGAAGACGGTGACTTGCCGCCACCTACTGGCGGTTTTAGTTTCACTTGAAAAGTACCCTTTAGTTACAACGTTAAAATTAGAAATCATTTCATATTTAAATATTGATTTATATCGTAGCTTTATTTATGCAATTGTAAATGTAGTGTAAAAATATTATTGCAAGTTCTGATGCCGTTTCTGTGTGGATGTTAACCGATTAGTGTTAGGGTTATGTTAATCCTAACCGATTAACCGGGTTAAATAAAGGACAAAAAAATTATAAACTTATGTATTTTTATTTGTTTATTTTTTTTTTTTTAAATCTTCATGAGTCTGCGGTCAACAACTGACCTAAGCCAGCCATGGCACCAGCACAAAAACACAATCAGTAAAATATCATCCAAGTATTATCAACAAAACTTTAACAAAATATCGCGATATATTTTTGTCAGTATTACACACCCCTAATGCACGGTATTAATGTTGATTTCCTCAGGTCTTAAAAGGCCTTAAATCTGACTTTAAAAGCTGTGCAGCAACAGCAGATCAAGTCATCTTCACTCAGTAGTCCCTGCTCTCTCCTACAGGCGGCGCTGCAGCACGGCGTGATCGCGGGCCGCAAAGGGTTCGGCAGCATCTTCGTTGTAGCCAGTGGCAACGGAGGACAGTATGGAGACAACTGCAACTACGATGGCTATGCTAACTCCATCTACACCGTGACCATTGGTACAGTTCTCTCTGCGCAGTCTCGAGTGTGTGTGTGTGTGTGTGTGTCTGCTTCACGTGTGTATCAGTGTCAGTGATGTGTGCTTGCAGGAGCGGTGGATGAGAATGGCAGGAAGCCGTTTTACGCAGAGGAGTGCGCCTCTATGCTAGCGGTGACCTTCAGCAGTGGCAGCAGACAACTGCGCAGCATCGTAAGCATTAGCCTAACCCTAACCTGTGTTGGAGAGAGTCTCTCGTCCCTCAGTCTCTCCCGATGACCTCTAACCTGTTCAAGCTGGCTTAAGCTAACAGTCTAACATTATCATGGATGGTCAAAGTTAGTGGATGTTTTCACTGGAGTTTAGATATTTACATGTTTAAATAAAATAAAGATATACAGTAGTCAAACACACATGATCTCATTCCTAAACGACGGTGATTCGGCTCTGTCCATCAAGCCTTTGACGAGTGCGATCGCGGCGTACGTTCAGATCCAGAGAGAGCCGTTGTCATGAATTGGCGTGAAACCGCTTCACAAAGTTTCAACACACAGGTTCATTATTTTTGTCTTACAATCTATCATTCACATTACTGAGTAAATCACCTTCTGAAAGTAGCTTGAAAAGATGGTAGACCAGTAGGTGGCGACAGAAGTGTTAAAGAATGTATTTCTCATTGAATCATTCAAGAGATCATTCGTCCAGTATATGAAACAAGTGGAGTCTTTATGAGTGAGTCATTAAATCATTCATTTCAACCAAATATTTCTCTCGTTTTTTTTAATGGTCGCACCAATTAACATGTCAGAACCTCTAGTGAATTACATCATTCAGAATCATGGGTGAATCGTGATCTCTATTTTAAACAATAATCAATTTATCCAGAGTCGTGATGCTCATGGATGAATCCCATCTATAACATGCATTTAGAAAATAGCATTGCATTTTAATTAACACACACACTTCAATAAACACACTATTAAAATGTAAAATGTCAATATACAGAAGTATCAGTCATTCTCCTGACGTGTGTGTCCTGTGCCCAGGTGACGTCGGACTGGTCTCTGCAGAGTGGCACGGGCTGCACTGACGGGCACACGGGCACGTCTGCGGCGGCTCCTCTGGCCGCGGGCATGGTGGCGCTCATGCTGCAGGTGCGGCCCTGTCTGAGCTGGCGGGACGTTCAGCACATCATCACCTTCACCGCCACACAGGTAACTCATCACTCCATCAGTGTCAGTATGAGCCAGAAAGCAGAACCTCACCACACACGGCTCTTACTAAACGTTTCTGAATGGTAATTTGCTATATTTAATTTGTACTTTATACACGTTTGTTTTACACAATAGCATCAAACTAACTGGCTACTATATAACACACAAACAGCGTTGGCATTGGTTTACGTTCTTGATCAAATCGAAAAATAACGTCATAAAGTATATACACATGAAAAATACATTTATAAAATGAGTCATATACAAATTCAGGTCCAAAATGTTTGTACGCGTTTGTCGTAATAACTAAGTGGCTATAAAGCCAGCGCTGGCATTTGATAAAACTAAAATATTACGTCTGGAAATATTCATGAAAATACATTTAAAATGATGAAGTCGTAGCCTACTTACAGGTTGTGTTCAACAACTGCTGCCTCTGGTTTTAAAGCTGGATCTGCTTCATGTTTTAGTAACCGTTTCTTGTTGAATCCGGTGTTGGAGATTCTGGAAGCTGTCTTCCGTAAATGCGCAGCACAGAGAGCTAGATTACCATCCTCATTTTCAGGAACATAATCAAACATAAATTGACCTGACAGCTGGTGAACAACACACTCGACGAGCTGCAGAAATATGATCATGCCCTTTTCTGCATATTCCAGAGGGAAGGTTGATGCAAATGTGTGTGTTAGTGACGTCAATAACCCAGCTGTAGTCCCAATCCAGTCGTTTTTGTAGGCAATATACTTCCTGATTTTAAAAAGACGACATCTCTGCTTACACTGAACTTTCAGCGCTGCAACTGTGCAGAGACTGTTCATGCACCATAAGCAACATTACACACTATTTAAAATGAAAAAAGTGAAATCGCAGTCAACCCCCTCCCTTTAACATGGACCAAACTAAACATTAGCCTTAAACTTGACTAACTTAATCTGTTATTTTTTTGCTTGTTTGTATACACAGTGCTGTATACACCACATCTGTTATACACCGTGTGGAGAGTTGATCCTTTAGATCAGATTCCAATCAGATACACAAATAATCTGGTTCGGACTGACAGTGTAAATTTAGCCGAATGTCATATACAACAACGCAGTCTTAAAACCTCACGAATTTGTGGCAGCCCACCACATCACAAACATCTTGAAGCGAAACTCCTGACACTATTAAGACACCACTAAGGCCTAAGAGGGAGCTGCATCTAGTAGAGGTGCCAAAGGGGTAGGCAGTCCGGTCGATTCATAAGCAAGGTGGATAGAAGTGTTGTTTTTGGCGGCCTGTTTTAATTTCAGTTTTAGTCTAGTCTTTGTGTCAAGCTGACATTTTAGTTTTTGTTAGTTTTAGTCACATTCATACTCTTTTTAGTCTAGTCTAGTTTTAGTCGACGAAAACTGATGACATTTTAGTCTAGTTTTAGTCGACGAAAGACATAGTTTAGTTTCAGTCAATGAAAATTGTATTTTAGTCTCTTTTTAGTAGGCAATTCTATTAAACCCAGTCAATATATAAGTAGCCTACCTAGCCTATAGACGAAACCAAATTTTTCTCTTAGCCAAACCCATTTCAAACAATCTAATCTTCTTATAGTTATCTTCTTATATTATTGTTACCTTATAGACTCAAGAATGCATCCAGGAAAACGCTCTGAATTGAATTTACAACATATTTATTTTACCAACCAAACATGTTAGTAGCCTACACACAAGATGAAATTAAAGTTTTTCCAAATGTCATTTTTTCTTTTTCTCCCAAAGACGAATCCCTTTCTCTGTGTCAGACTTAACTTTGTTTGTTGTCATTTATGCTAAAGCCTGTTTCGCACATACCCATTTGCAGTGCGTATTTTTCCCGCACCCATGTTACAGTAATAAATTAGCGCTCAGCGCGCGCTCTAGGAGCGGTGCGTGCATAACAGCAGAGCAGAGATCTACTACCTCAACAACGCGACACAATGGATGTAGGCTAATTTAAAATACTGATTTGAAATAAAAAATAGAGGATAAATGTTGCGATTGTGGTACAGCCGTAGATCAGTTGCGCACTGCAAACGCAGCACATGTGAAAGCAATAACGCGCGCTGCTCCTGCATACTGCAACACACACCGCATACACGCTACACACGGAGTGTGTGTGAAACAGCTGTAACTCACCGCCTGCTTCTTCTAAATAATGCCGCGAGTGGGGCTTGAGGATCTGAAGTCGCATGCGTTTGCACAGTGCGATCTGATGCAGCCTCTGAAGTGACACAGGAAACAGAAATGCTGCATACTAATAATGCAAGTAGGCTAAGCGAGACGAGATAACGTTAACATTTCGTCTCGTTTTGGTCAACGAAAATGAAGAGACATTTTAGCATAGTTTTTATTTTTGTAAACCACATTAGTCTCGTTTTTATTCGTCAACGATATTGCATTATACATTTAGTTATAGTCATCGTCACACGACCAGCGTCTCGTCTCGTTTTCGTCACGTGATAAAGGTTCGTTGACGATGATATTTAGTCATAATTTTCGTTGACGAAAGCAACACTAGTGGATAGCAGCCTCGACTGTCCATTTGCTTATTCTCTGCTTAGATGCAGGGGACCCTTTATTAGGAGGTCTATTAACTGGACACAGGAGATTAAACCTTTCCTGGTCAGCATCCCAGAATGGAGGAGGACAAAAGGCATGCAGAATGATGGATTTGGCCACATTAGTGCCTTTACCATGACGGGCGCAAAGTCCAAGCACAAAGGGGAAACCATCAAAGCTTGTAAACCTCCTATCCTTTTAAGAGAAGTAATAACCAGAAGGCACAGTGTCTTGAGAGTCAGAAACTTGACCGTAACCTCATCAATCGGCTCAAAGTGAGCCAGGGATAGGCCAAAGCCCATGCCGGTACCCTAGTGCGTACTGCAGTGCCACGGAGGAAACCTGTTATTAAGGGGTCTCTCCCTAAAGACATAGCACCCAAAGGACCAGCTATGGCCACCACATAGACCTTTAATGTAATGAACCGCTCTTTCAGGAACTCCAGCACTGTACCAACAGCACTTAACTGGGTCCAGCTGATGACCAGGGGCCTCATTTATAAACGTTGCGTACGCACAAAAGAAGGCGTACGCCGCTCTCTACGCAATAGTTGATATTTATAAAAAACAAACTTGACGGTAAAATGTCCAGTCCTTCACGCAAGCTCTGACCCAGGCGTACGCACACAAACGGGTGAAATGAGAAATGGCGACACCGTCGACAGTTGGAAAAAACACGTGAAAGTGTGTGAAACTGTAGACGGTTGTGTAAAATAAATGGCAATACTGCCTCTCATAAATAAAACAAAGACTTCACAAAGAAAGTCTTAACAGCTTACAATTAACAGCCTACGCGAACACCCGTTTGATCGATCTGTAACAGAAATGCAAATTAACACATATTTCCAAAAAGAAAGTGAAATATTTTCTGCTATAATATTGGTATGCAATTCATCCTCATAAATAAGATGGTAAACAGAACGAAATAATGTACAAACTGATATTCTCGCCAATATGTTTGTCTAACGGAGCAGATATAGCAATTAGATAGTCAGTGCCTAGATAATAGGGAGATATATAGATAGATCGATAAATATTATTTGTCCACTGGGGAAAGTTGTTTTCATAGTAAAAATGTCTTCATAATCTACGGAATAATGGTATTCCTTTAGTTTGTTTTATTTTTGATAAAATAACGTATGACGTGTCTCAACCATTCAGAAAGCTGCAAGAAATTACATTTGCGCTGAACTATTTCCCATTCCCAAGTAGATTATAACCGATATCCGTAGCTTCAGATGCAGAATTAAATGGATGTAAATAAAATGCCCCATCACAATGCGTATAATGACGCACAACGGCTGATCTCGCGCTCTTAGAAGATGTGGCGATTAAATGGAAGGATTCGGAGTGAACGCATCATCTTCACAACAAAAGGTGTGGAAAAATATATTATTTATTCAAGAATTCCCTCATTGTGCAGTTTATTTCAGTTAGGACAGTCTTGATTTCGCTCAACTCCTTGGCCACCTCTCTGATTGAATTAATGACTAGACGGACTTTGATGTCCGACCATTTCTTGTTTATTTCGGCCACAGTCCGAGGTTGTGAGGACACAGTATTTACGGCGTCTGCAACCTTTTGCCACTCAAGTGCCTTTTTGGCATTAGTAATGCCCACACTGTGCCCTCCAAACAACATTTTTCTCCTCTTTTCCACCTCGCCAACGATAACTTCTAATTCACATTGAGTGAAGTTACGTTTTTTGTTAATTCCTCTCTGTGTTTAACATGATTTCGCAATTCATAAATATTAACTTTTGGGCGTTTCACGGACTATTGATGGGCAACTATGGGCGTGACATGAAGCCGCAAAAGCTGCGCTACATTTAGAACTGATTGTGATTTATGAAGGGAAAAATGCGTAGGATGTGCGTGCGCACGGTTTTATAAATCCGAATATTTCTGTGCGTACGCACGTCCTATGTTTCATCCGTACGCCACTTCTGACGCAAATCCTACGCAAAGTTTTATAAATGAGGCCCCAGAGCATCCAGAGGTGAAAACTCTTCACTTCAAGGCATACGGTTTCCTCGTGGAGGGAGCTCTGGAGTGTAGAATGGTCTCCACAACCTTGGTTGAGAGACCAGTATGTATGAGTTGGGCCAAGCCCTCAGCTTCCGTTGCTCTGGACGGGGGTGAAATTTTGCCTGGGACAACAGGTCCCCCCGATCGGCCACCTCGGTGCAATCAAGGTGAGCCAAACTTTGTCGTGGTGAACTCTCCCCATGGGAGCAGAGCGATCGGGGGAAGAGCACACAAACGTAACCTTAGAGCCTTAGCCACGTCTGTACCATGGAACAGGCCCTCTGGTGCCTGGCTGAACATCCTCCATATTCCCCGGGCCTCAGCCCCTGTCCCGACGGTGTCTGCTCCTATATTCTGGGCCCCAGGGATATGAGCCGCTCTGAGTGACGGGATCTTCCCCTGGGACCACAGGAGGATTTGCAGAGTGGACTTGAGTGAAAATCCCTCTGGTGATTTATAAAGGGGACCACCAATGCATTGTCTGTGTGGACGAGCACATGGTGGCCTCCGAGGTCTGCGAGGAAATTCTTTAAGGTAAGAAAAACAGCCATCATTCCTGACATTTGATTTGCCAAGAAAGATGGACTCCCCTCCACAGTCCTTGAGTGGATCGACCCTCTTGGATTGCTCCCCATCCCGTGAGGGAAGCATCCGTCGTTAGCATCTTGCGACGACAATGGGACCTTGGGATAAGAACAAGGGTTTCTTCCACATAACCAAGACATGAAAGCATCGCCACATGACCTTGATCATGCGAAAAGGATTGCCCCTCTGGGAAACCCCTGGTCCTGAGCCACCACTGCAAGGGTCTCACGTACAGTAGGCGGAAAGGTATCACGTCGGACGCTACCACGCCTTGAAAAGTGGTCCTCTGAACTGACCCCGTTCTTCTTTGGAACGGTAAAATACCAGCTGTAGGTACTGGTTTCTCTAACATCTTCTATGGAGAGTATGGGTAGCGATGCTCTGCTCTTGTACGGTACGAGGAACTGGCTTTAGTGGTTTGGGGCCGCTCCCGCTCAGGTGGGTTTATCAGTAATAAAATTAGAAAAATGTTGCTGTTGTATTATTATTATTATTATGATTTAAAGTATTAATCTGAATGTGAATGTTTTAATGCCGTGTGTTCAGCATGACGCACAGGCGGACTGGAGAAGGAATGGAGCCGGTTTCCATCACAGCCACATGTACGGCTTCGGCTTGCTCAACGCCTGGAGGCTGGTCAACGCTGCCAAGGTCGTGTGTGTGTGTGTGTGTGTGCTTTCATACAAACACAGCTGACATAAACAAGCTGAGAGTCTGTCTGTATGTCTGGCAGGTTTGGGAGTCCGTCCCCTTCTTGGTGTCCTACCAGAGCCCAGTGTTAAAGGCCAATGAGATCATCCCAGCTCATCCAAACACGCTCACTCAGACTTGGAATGGTAAGAGATTTATATGGAGGAACAGAACGCAGTATGAATTGTGGGTAGAGCTCTTAAAAAACATTTCACCCTGAAATCAGAATGAAAAATAAAGATATTAGATTTTGCATAAATAAAATAATGGAATGAATACATTTTCTTTTTTCAGTATTCAAATGTGATGATTATTTGCTGTTTTCCGATCAGTAGTTGGCCATGAACAGGGCTGTTATTGTGCTGAGCAAGGCTCTGTTAAATGTCCCACACACAGCAGTGTACTACCCTTACTTGGAAGTGTTTGTGTGTTTAAGTGTACAAGTGAAATGTTGCTTCCCCTTTCAATTGCGCTCACATCTTTCCCGCTGTCTTCGTCTCGGTCTGTCTTTAGTCAGCTGGCTGAGAACCGCTGCATTTCTTGCTTTACTTGACACTTGTTCCCTCTCTGAAGAACTGAATCTTCTGACACAATTCAGCAGCATTTGTTCATGTCCACTTACGCGTTATTTAGACGTGACTTTAGCGACTGCGCGTCACTAGACCGCACTAATGGAAGTGGAGGTGGCCTGCAGACCGTATTAGGGATGGGACGATAACCGGTTTCACGATAAACCGTGATAAAATGTACTGACGGTTTAAAATTTAATTATCATTAAAACCGTGTTTGATTATCGTGATTTTAATAATTATTTTGGGTTTTACAAAAAACTATTAAAAATAACTTTTGGAAATAACAATCACAGTGAGTGAGCTTACACATTAAGATAATATCAGATTTTCTCCAGTCATTGTTAAAAAACAAGCTAACAATCCTTGCTAACTAGCGTTAGTGAAGCGGCCAGACGGATCTTTCTGCCTCCACCTAAGCTCCGCCCACAAAAAAACGTCACCATGTTTACCAACTGTAAAAGGGTCTATAGAATCTTGCTTAAAATCTGCATAGAGAGGCTTGTTTTATTTGTTGTTTGTTGATTTTCAATTATAAAACTTGTTGAAATGTTTTCAGTGTGAGCATCAGTTCTTTTTGAGCACTTTCATAAATTTTTAACAAAACCGTGATAATATTGATAATCACGATTATTTTGGACACTATAATCGTGATATGAAATTTTCATACCGTCCCATCCCTAGACCGTATCTATGCTTTTATCTTCCTGCTGTGGCACTAATTTGCTAGTTTTACATTCAAGCTTTAATTATTAGTCCTACTCTATTAAAATGGAGACTGGATGTTCTAGATTGAGATCCTCATATCCTGAAATTGCAACATATAGTGACTAGAAAACATATAGAAAACGTTTAAGAACCAAAGTCATACTAAAGCAATCTTCACGTACGCCCATAATAATGAATGCCTCATTTACCTGTACATGTGAGTTTTTGTGTTTTTGTGTTTTAAACCCGAATGTTTCTAAGAAGGATCGGGGTATGGGTGTGTGTATCATCAGGTTATGTTGACCACAGACGTTACATATAAATTAAAAAAGCCCCATGGACTGGCCGTCCCGCCTCGGCACACTGTCACACACGGGCTGAGGACATTAGCCTGGTCACACACACACACATTACGTATGTCTTGCTGTGTGGACGCTGTTGTGAAGTCATGAGGTGTGTCCTCCGTGTAAGTGCTTCATATCGTATAATGCAAAACAATAAACTGAACTTTTCTCTTGCTTTCCTCCCATTGGCAGTCACGGTGTCTGACTTGAGGCATTCGGGCATGCAGACGCTGGAGCACGTGTCCGTCACCGTCACGCTGGCCCATCCGCGGCGCGGGAACGTGGAGGTCACGCTCGTGTGTCCCAGCGGGATGACCTCGCTGATCGGGGCCAGGCGAGCGCTGGATGTGTGAGCGTCCAAACGCTTCTAGTCCTCTACTTTCCTCTACTTTAGCTGCTAGCGAGTGTGTGACGCGAACGCTCTTGCTGTTTCACAGAGATACGACTGGATTAACAGACTGGACGTTTTCCACTGTGCGCTGTTGGGGAGAAAGAGCAGAGGGACAATACAGCCTACAGATCACCGACTACAGTAAGACTTTTTGTCAAATGCAGAAATTAACAATTCATTTGGTTAGCTGCTAGCGATGTCATGGGAGCATCTTGAAAACACAAAGGCTGCTTGTCTGGTGGCACTTACAGTCGTTTACTAAACGCCAGCATTCAGATATAGGCTTCATGACCAGCGGGACACTGCTAGCGAACACCCCGTCGCAGCGCACACGCCGATCACAGCTGATCATGGCGATATACAGTCCCTTCAGAAAAACGTGATTATGCGATCGCTGAATTCAATGCATAATCAGCCAAAGTCCGCATATTTATGCGGGGGCCGCATTTTTTCAAATACGCCGCACTTTCGCCTCATAAATTGCCGATTTACGTGCAAAATATGCGGGGTTTGCATAATTTCATAATCCTCGCATTTTCGTTGCAAAAAAAGTCACATGTATCTTAGCAGAAAGTTGAAAAATGTTGCATTTGCTTCACACAAGAGCAGCCATTTCCCCCTGTTTCCATGGGAACGTTATGAAGTGACGCAATTACGCGACGCCAGACAGACTCACGGAGGCGATTGACATCTCACAAATCGAACTCGTATAACTGTCTGTCACACGTTCTACCGTCACATCGTTACTTAATAAACAACATAAGATAAAAGAAGTAGCATCAAACAGAAATGACCCGCACACATGAGGTGTTCGAGGCGCACATATAACACTGCAGAGAGTTCTTAAAGGGGCCACACCTTATTTACACTCGTTACAGTCTGAAATAAAACAAGATGAGAAATTATTCCCAGCACTTTCTATGATGTAGTATGCTTGCTTATCAAAGGAAGTAATAAGAAATGACTCTTACATTAGCCTAGTGAGAACAGGGTGTTGGGGGAATCACTTTTTTTCTCTTTTTCATCAAACCACAATTTTTGCAAGTTCCCTCAATTTTTGCAAATTCCTGCAATTTCATTGCATAAAATTGCATAAATATCCCGCATATTCTTTCCATCGCATTTTTAAAGAAAACGGGCCGCGTAATCAAGGATTTTTGCCCGCAACAATCACAAAAAAACTCCACGTTTTTCTGGAAGGACTGAATACTATTATGGTAAATGTTATATATAAATCACAAATTTTTGGAAATTACCACCACAAAATCAGTCATTTTGATCGCAAAAATCACAAAAAAAAAATCGTGAAATCCTGGAGGGACTGGATATAGATATGTTTGCACTCCGGTCACGTCACGGTAATTCATACAGCACTTACACAATAGATGACTTTAAAGCAGCAGCAGCTTTACATGCGGTGTGATTGGGTTCCTTGAGCAGGTGTGAAGACTTGACCTCTGACCTCTGCTCGGTCCACATGATGCGTCTCCCGCCTCTGTCTTGCAGGAGAGTCGACTGTGGCATCGGGCGTTCTGAAACACTGGAAACTCACTCTGTACGGCTCATCCCTGTCCCATCAGCAGGTGAAAGAGAGGCGCAGGTGAGTGTTAAATGTTGAGGAAACACCAAATTCCATGTGGTTTATTTCTAGACTAGACATGATGATGCAGTTCTAGCATGATCACGAGTGTTTGTTTGGATGTCCAGAGTTGTGGAAGAGGCCATGGGGGGCCAGTATCTCCACAGCGGTTTTGCGCTGCCCTGTCCTCCCGGTATAGATGTCCCTCCTGAGCCCGTGAGCCCGTTCACCTCCAGCAGCCTGAAGGTGTGTACTTAACCCCCAACTCCTGTGCGCTCCAGATCCTGTGTTTAACCCCTGTTGTTGTGTGACGTGCAGTCTCTGCTGCTGCTGGGCTGCTTCGCCCTGTTCTGGGCGCTGTACTACACCCTGGAGGTCACCCTCACCCACTGGGACCGGGGGTCGAGAGGCCGAGCACTGCAGGCGGGGTCCACAGCAGGCCTGGAGGACAGTCAGGTGGTGGAGATCCAGCCCGAGATGGACAGCGAGTCCAAAGTGCCCCTCATCGCTGCGGATGAGAACACGTAGCACCGGGGAACTGGACCCTCGGTTCTCCAGTCTGGAATTTCAGGTCGCACTTTGCTTTAGTTTGAGCATGTGAGCAAACGCTCTTTATTGAGTTGCCTTATTTTGTTTTCTTGTGTAAGAGTGCCTGATAAAGTGAGTGAGCCGTATTTGAAACATTTATTGCATATAAGATTGAAAGTGTGTGTGTGTGTGTGTGTGGTGACGGCTGTGTGAAAGATATGTTATGGAGTTTAATATAATGAACTTTTTTACGTACTTTTTTTTTCTTGGTCATGATTTATTGAATGTGTCACGGTTGGATAATTTCAGAGTATAAATACCTACAACACTTGAATTTTGAGAAAAGGAAAGAGATGGGTAAGACTTATTTCGAGGGTCCCTTTTGCACTGCTGTTGACTGAGCAGGTTTAACTGTGGTGTTTAGTCGGCTGTGTGTGTGTGTGTGACGCTCCTGCTGACTGTAGGTCATATCTGTGTTAAAGGGGCCGTCGAGGTAAAGTGAAACGCAGAGATGGTTTAAAGCTGACGTCTGCTTAACGGCAGTTGTTTTACTGATTTTAGCCTGTTTTTTTTACACTGAAGTGTGGTATTTTTGTGAACAAGAATTCAGATGTGGTTTCAATAAAAACAAAAAGGGAAAGTGTCTCAGCGTCTCTTTTACCAGGGGTTACAGTAATGTGCGCTCTCAGACATGCTCCAAAAATACTTCTGTGATGTGATGAGTGAAGCCTACTTGATTTTGGTCTGTGAGTCATTTTATTGGTTGAAGTCTTTCTACTAAAAAGGGTTCTGTGACGGTGGGTAAAAGAAAAGACAAGTAGAGCAAGCTTTCACAAAACAAGGGTTAAGCAAACCAACGACACTTGGGTGTTTCGCTCTACAACGTAAAATACTCCATGAAATCTTCTGGTGGTTTTAAAGGCCAGGGTTAAGCCTAGTCCAGACTAACGTGCATGTTTGAGCTCTCTTCACAGACAGTGCCATTGCTTTGTCTCAAGATCACAATTTACTCCTTTGTATGAGAGCAAACCTAAAAGCATCAGATCCTTTGGTATTCGTATTAAACCACATTTGGAGAACTTGAATATAAATTTAAACATTTTAAACCAAATACAAGTCAATTCTATATATCTCCCTGGAAATTAAAGAAGCCGAATATCAATTTGGATTTGGCTAATCAGAGGAAAGGAGTGACTCATCCAAATGTATATAGAAAGCAATATTTGGACATAAGAAACCAATTCCCTTTTCTCGTACCTATATTCACAGATGGTTCGAAGGTGGAAAATAGTGTAACGGCAGCAATGGTGACTGGACATCAATGCTATGGAATCCGTTTTCCAAAACAATATATATATATATATATTATTAACTGTTGGCAAACTAAGATTGTTTGTAGAATTTGTCAAATTCGTATTTTTACCTGGGTGATCTTTCCCATACTGTTTCCTTGTGTAAGCAGCTGGAACATTTATTAAACATGTAGAATACTTTCCAGAGCATTACATATAGTATTATAAATTCAGACGTTTGTGATATATAAAAAAAATAAAACATAAGATTATCTTTTTTAAATTAGATTGAACACGGAGCAGTTTTTTTTTCCTGTGAGTGAGACTGGAAAACCCGTAGTGGATTAGAGTGGAGTGATAACAGAACACTGTTCCCACCCTGCAATTCATCCTACTACAGTATTTTTAACAAATAAAGTATTGTTTATAAATATACGAATGATATATGATTAAATATGATTTATATTAAATATCAAATATGATTTCATTCCCAGCGCTTGCACGCTGCCTTTTTCATTGTGGCGTTTTACAGTCAAATCTAAAATATTGTCAAAAACGTCTGTCTTTTGCATATTCACATATAGACACATATATAGTGTGTGAGATCCACATGAAGACTGAAGCGTTGCCTATCTGTTAGATTTATTGTTGGATTTGTTATGGGCTTTATAAGTTAACTTAAATTAAAAGTTGTTAGGCCTATATTTCTGGAGCATAATAATACATGTTAAAAATGATAGCTTTCAATTAGCCTAAAGTACTTTAATGAATGGCGATAATTAATGTCTAGAACTGAAAAAATAAATAATCATTGAAGTCATCAATAGCTTTAAACAAGCCTTCATTTATAAAAATATGCCATTAAACAATTATTTAAAATAATAACTGTCTTTATTGTTTCTACAATAATTTGGAGATTACCTGTAAAATTATTACATTATAAAATATATTAAAAACAAGCCATCTTGTGCAATTACAGCGAAATTATCTCAATATAAACACAAATACACTGAGAGAGCAAAGATTTATTTGAAATCTGCATTGAGCAATGTTTAAATATGAATAAAAGCCTTAATTAAATGTCCTTACATAAAGTGATCTCTTCAGAAGAAACGCCTTCAAATGGCGACTGAAAAAAACACATTCAACGATGCTGAGAGAACTAACCAATTAAAAATAAAACATGAAATATGAATACTTTTTTAAAGAAGAATCTAAATACATATATTTGAGTAAAAATATTTTAAAGCACAGTAAAATAAAGAACGGATTTGACTTTTTTCATTGTCATGTCTGTTTGTGTAAGGATCAGTGGTGTGTGCGTGTGTGTGTGTCCAGTAGGTGGCGAAATGCGCCTGTTCAACAGCACTTCAAACACACACCGAAGAAGAAGAAGAAGTTGTCTCTATCACAACATCCGGTCACCGTCATAGCGCTGATTGTGGGTTATTTTCAGTTATTTTGAGGTGAGTTTTTGAATGTGTTTTATCATCATTTCTTCCCATTAAAACAGATGTTTGGTCATTCAGCTGTGGATAATAATGATTCCGTTTACACGTATATAGAAGCGAATATAAATGACTGATCAGTTCGATTATTGTCAAGTTTCTGTGGACGCTTGGTGTTTTATTCTCAACTAACACCTTTATCAAAGTTAGTTTTGAAATAGAATCAAAGTTATTAATCTGTGCCAATAAATCAATAATTTTGAAGAATTGGATCCCATGCTAGCTGCCACAAGGACTCATTTAAGATTTTTATTCTAATATAATAATGCAGAATGATGAATAACTGTTAAATAAATCGAGGCACAGTATTTCAAATGAACAGTTTCTCCTCATTTGATCAGCAAAAGTCTCAACTCTATTGAGTTCAGGCTGTGAAGAGCTTGATGAAGATGAGGAGTTAGGTCAGTGTGGCACAACTCACTTTGGCAGAAAACCATACCAGTGATTAATAGAAATTCAGTTTATAAAAGAGGTATGCTGTTATAAAGACTCTGGATTATTAAAAGTACAGTTTATAACGGGGTATACTGTTATAAAGACCCTGGATTATTAAAAGTACAGTTTATAACGGGGTATACTGTTATAAAGACCCGGGATTATTAAAAGTACAGTTTATAACGGGTATGCTGTCCTTTATTTTGCTCTGCAGGGTATATGAACCCTTTAAAAGGTAATTGAAAATGTCCTCCCACTTATTTTCCATGCTTAAACTACGGTTAGCAGAAAAACTTAATCATTTAAAAGCAAAACATTAGTCGATGTGTTCAATCTCGGTCAGATGACGCCAAACGCGAGAACCTCGAGTTAAGGATATTACGCAAGTGGGGATGTGTGATGTAGGAGTAACGTAAGCTTAGACGCGTCTCACGATTAAAACAACAAACTGAAGCCCCTCTTCTATTATATATAGATCTATATATCTGTTCAAAATGTCCAATTCACGACCAGTGTTTTGTTTTGTTCTTTCCTCCGAGTTTCCGCTTGGTCATTACGCTGTGCGTTACTCCTCCACCATAAATCCATGCATACGACTCCCTGGAGCCATATGGATTACTTTTATAGTGGATGGATGCACTTTTATGGACTTCAAAACAGCAATTCTCTGCCATTATAACGCTTGGAAGAGCCAGGACATTTTGTAATATAACTCTGATTGTCATTTACACGTAGGATGGCTTTATGGTGAGTAAATCCTGGGATGATTAGAGCTGTGGGATGAACTGTCCGTTTAATGTTGGACTGTGTTATCACAGGATGTTCAGGACCCCACACGTGAAGACTTGTGTAACCCAGCTGAGGTTTCAGAGACTGCAGTTGATGCTCAGAGTCCCACATGAACACGTCTGCAGCCGCTCTTCACGTGTCCTGCGGGAAACACACACCGGATCCTCTGTCGCTCTGGACTCTTCCGAACACGCGTGTCCACGGGCCACCAGACGGACATGCATCAGCACTCATTTTCTGTCACCCCACATGGACTTTAGCAGGATTAACTGGGTTCACACACCACAGACTCTTGTCCTGTGTCTGAATGGATCTCCGTCCCAGTGCAGACTGGAGAAAGGCCATCGTTCTCCTGAAGGACCAGCATGCAGCACACACAGCACCGGCAGCTTTGGCTCAGGCCTGTGGACGAGGCGCTGTAGACCCGCGGGCCGCTCTGCGGTGCGGACGGGTCAGACCCGCGGGCTGCACAGAGACGGCCAGCAGCGCAGCGTCACGGCCCGGTGTCTGTCCGCGGGGAACGAGGCTCGCTGCCGCCGCTCCATGCAGGCCGGCGCTGCCCTGTACGAGCGGGAGGGCAAGAGCTGGGCGGCGGTGCTGGTGTGTCTGTGTTCTGTGAGCGGCGATCCCGCACTGCTGTTCACCCTCAGGTCGGCCCAGCTGAAGGGCCGGCACAAAGGCGATGTCAGGTAGAAGGTCACCCGAAACTGGTTTCTACTGCTGAAAGCTGCATAGAGTCGCTGGCGTGTCGGCTCATCCCTCTTGTGTCAGTTTTGCAGGCGGAAAGAAGGACCCGTCGGACAGATCTGTGGTAGAGACGGCTCTCAGAGAAGCTGGAGAGGAGCTGGGAATCCACGTCTCAGAAGATAAAGTGTGGGGTGTGATGAAACCGCTGCGGGATATGGTGAGTGTACAAATGAGACCATTTCACAAGATGTAAACAACACTGGTCCAGAAGCACTTCCTGTTTCAGTTTTTTAACACTACATAAAAGCTGGGATAAAATACAACCAACAGAACATGTAAAACTGAATCAAAAAGTTAAACAAACATCTTTAAGATGTTTTCTTTACATGTGAAATAAAGAAAACAGTTACAAACTGAAACAGGAAGTGCTTCTGGACCAGTGTTGTTTACATCTTGTGAAATGGTCTTAAAGGGACCCTATTATGCTAATGTAAGATTCCTAATGTTGGTGTCTCCGACAAGAGATTTACATGCGTCCAAGATCAAAAACACTGTAATTTTCTCATAATTTCCACTGTAGCATCAGCTCTTTCCTCACACTGATGGTTTGTTCAAGGATTCAGAGAAAGCATTACGAGTTCCTTTTACAGGAACCAAGGGGTCAACCCCTGAAAAACAACCCCACACCATAACCCCCCCTCCACCAAACAACCCCACACCATGGGCTATGTGCACCAGCGTAGTTTCGAACTTCCGCTTTTGTCAGAAGTCGGCGTATCAGTTTCCGGTCTACGACTGGTCACCCGCATCCACTAATAAACAAAGAAGATGAGAAAAAAAGAGTTCTTAAACACATCTAAGTTTCTCAGAACTGTAGTGGATCTAACGTCCGTTTGCAGTGTGTGTTGCGGTGCAGGAGCGTGCTGTAAGTGCGTTCACATATTATGATGCGTTTGCACAGTGAATAACTGATCCGCCGCGGCTGTATAACAAACACATACTTCATATTTTTATTATTTTTTGCGCGTCGATCAAAATGTCTATTTTGTGCAGCCACTGCGCTCGAAGGTTGGTGTTTATCAGGAAGCAGTAGAAGCTCAAATGGCTGTTAGCGACTGAAGCAGAGCGAAGTGCCGCACAGCATCTCCTAACGCACCATGTAAACAGGTTAGGGCTTTCACTTTTCACTGATAACAGCAGCACAGCGATCGTTTCCACACCGAATCTATTTCTGCTGTGCTGCAAACGCTGGTGGTCAAAATGATAAAGATTGACCTGAAAATGTAGTGATTTCACCATGAATGCGTTTAATTAAATAAAATGTAGTAATCTCACCATAAATGCACATTTAATCAAGGAAAACTACAATTTACTTCAACCAGGCGACAGAATGAACTCGTCTCGATCGTGGAGGTGGAAAAATAAGTTTTGTGACATGCAAGATCTATTGTTTTAAAATTAAGATGCAAAAGAAAAGGCAAGTCGGCTGCTTTTGTCAATTTCAAGTTTTAATTTCAATTATTTGCGATTTTAATATAGTAACTATTTGACCACTTGCAATTAGTAATTGATAAGAATAATTGACCCTTCGCTAAGCAACGCCCGAAAACCCCCACTGGCCAATAATGTCTTAGCAACCGTAACTATGCGCGAGACCCATTCTGGTAAATGTTGACATGCTTAACAAAAACACCCATTGCTTGGAAATATTGACGGTTCTTTGGTCATAATGATATAACGTAAAATAAGATTATTAAAGCTCACTGACATACTTTAAAATATATTTCAGCATTTTGTTAATCGACGTCCTACTAACGTGACCCCTTAACTTAACCCAATCCGATCGTGGCTCTCCCGGTATTAGTGTTATTCCACAAGATTTATTGATTAGCTGTTTGATTTATAATTATTAAGATTATTTTCACATACCCTGCTGTGTATGAACATAGCTGTTCCTTAATTTGTGTTTCCCATTTGAATGGTCAGCGTATGAGGCGCTGCTGCTTGCACTGGGACTATAATGTTAGGCTTTAACTTCAATTTTTAAGAATATATCCCTCGCATGCATACTGTAGTCCCTTTTGTCTTGTTCTCTCAGATATTTCACTTGTTCGCCGAAAATTACTAATCAGAGCAGAGTAGACCAATCACAACAGACTGGGCCATCTGACCAATCAGAGCAGAGTAGACCAATCGCAGCAGACTGGGCCATCTGACCAATCAGAGCAGAGTAGACCAATCGCAGCAGACTGGGCCATCTGACCAATCAGAGCAGACCAATCACAACAGACTGGGCCATCTGACCAATCAGAGCAGAGTAGACCAATCGCAGCAGACTGGACCATCTGACCAATCAGAGCAGAGCAGACCAATCGCAGCAGACTGGGCCATCTGACCAATCAGAGCAGAGTAGACCAATCACAACAGACTGGGCCATCTGACCAATCAGAGCAGAGTAGACCAATCACAACAGACTGGGCCATCTGACCAATCAGAGCAGAGTAGACCAATCGCAGCAGACTGGGCCATCTGACCAATCAGAGCAGAGTAGACCAATCGCAGCAGACTGGGCCATCTGACCAATCAGAGCAGAGTAGACCAATCGCAGCAGACTGGGCCATCTGACCAATCAGAGCAGACCAATCACAACAGACTGGGCCATCTGACCAATCAGAGCAGAGTAGACCAATCACAACAGACTGGGCCATCTGACCAATCAGAGCAGAGTAGACCAATCGCAGCAGACTGGGCCATCTGACCAATCAGAGCAGAGTAGACCAATCGCAGCAGACTGGGCCATCTGACCAATCAGAGCAGACCAATCACAACAGACTGGGCCATCTGACCAATCAGAGCAGAGTAGACCAATCACAACAGACTGGGCCATCTGACCAATCAGAGCAGAGCAGACCAATCGCAGCAGACTGGGCCATCTGACCAATCAGAGCAGAGTAGACCAATCGCAGCAGACTGGGCCATCTGACCAATCAGAGCAGAGCAGACCAATCGCAGCAGACTGGGCCATCTGACCAATCAGAGCAGAGCAGACCAATCGCAGCAGACTGGGCCATCTGACCAATCAGAGCAGAGTAGACCAATCGCAGCAGACTGGGCCATCTGACCAATCAGAGCAGAGTAGACCAATCGCAGCAGACTGGGCCATCTGACCAATCAGAGCAGAGTAGACCAATCGCAGCAGACTGGGCCATCTGACCAATCAGAGCAGAGTAGACCAATCGCAGCAGACTGGGCCATCTGACCAATCAGAGCAGAGTAGACCAATCGCAGCAGACTGAGCCATCTGACCAATCAGAGCAGAGTAGACCAATCGCAGCAGACTGGGCCATCTGACCAATCAGAGCAGACCAATCACAACAGGCTGGGCCATCTGACCAATCAGAGCAGAGTAGACCAATCACAACAGACTGGGCCATCTGACCAATCAGAGCAGACCAATCACAACAGCCTGAGCCATCTGACCAATCAGAGCAGAGTAGACCAATCACAACAGACTGGGCCATCTGACCAATCAGAGCAGAGTAGACTCCTGGTAAGGAGGGGTTTATAGCGACTGATTCATCCATCGATTTGTTTGAACAGTGTGGTGTGCACTTCAAAAGACTATGAAGAAACAAAATAAAAATGAAGAAACTTTGATAAAGGACAGTAGGGGCACTTTAAGGGTATGAATGCACAGTTAAGTGTCAGAAAGCTTTTAACTATTTCTGAAGTAAAGGTCAGTGCAATTCTTCATCTAATTTTGTGTTTCCTAATTTGCAGTCTGGAATGATGATTGCGCCTGTAATCGCCAATCTTGGATCTTTGGAGAGACTCTCTTTTCGACCCAATCCAAGTGAGGTACAGGCAGACCACTGCACATTTCCCCAACTTACATCATCACAATCCATTCAGTTCATCCGCATCATGGCCGACTGTTCGTCCTGAGATAAGGGTTGAGTAACACTGCACTTCTTTGATTGACAGGTGGAAGAGATTTTTACCCTGACACTTGAGCATTTATGTCAAGCCCAAAACAGAGGATACACACACTTCCGTACTGGTGACCGTTATGGGTACACACTCCCTGTGTTTCACAGTCCGAAGTATCGAATCTGGGGTCTGACGGCAGTGGCCTTAGATCAAGCTCTCAAGCTCATTGTGCCGCCAGAGCATGTGTTGGACCACGGCGCCGTCACCACAGAGGCTGCCTGCTAAACATGATCTGCTTTGAGGAACAATCTCACAGAAAACTCTCAAGAAAAGTTTTTATTTCCTGTATGCATAAGGTCTTTGAGGTGCAATATGTCCTGGGCATTTCTCTGAGATTCCCCCTTTGCCGTGGTTAAGCTTTAGGGTTAATGCCTACTGCTACTAAATGAGTGTCATTGGTTAGCCGGGGTGCTGTTATGAGAAGTGTCAAGTTTGATAGACATCATGCCTCCAGTGAAATGCAGAGCAACACACATTGAATGTATTTTTGGGATTTAGCATTATGAGTTTTGTTTTCATCATCTTAACCTAGATGGTTATTTTAAATGTGTGTCCATTTATTCAACCAATGAATAATAAAAGTGTGAACATGCTTTAGAGATTCAAGGTATCTGTACTGAATGTTTATTTTTGACAGCAGGGATTCTCAGTCCTGCACATGGACAACCTTTTTCCTGAAGTTTAGTTCTACCTTTAATAAGATGTACGCTCCACTGGATGTCTGTGCTCATGTTGTTCAACACCGTTGCATGGTGCCGATGACCACATTCTCAAAAACATCAAGAAAATCTCCTTGCAATAGATGTCTCTGTGGTAATTGGGGCCATTTCAATCAATGAACCTGTTCATCCAGCAAACAATCGGTATTGATCGTCAATCTAAGAAAGGATTTTTTTCATGGCCACAGTCAGAACATTTTAGATTAGGGTACAATTCATGATGACTCGCTTGGTTTAATCCTCAATTGTAAGTCGCTTTGGATAAAAGCGTCTGCTAAATGACTAAATGTAAATGTAGTGTCTCGCCTTAACTTTAAAGGGGTGATGAACTGAGAAATCAAATTTTCCTTGAGCTTTTGACATCTAAGAGGTCATCATATTATAAGAATATCCTGTAAGTTTCAGAACTGAAAACGTCCTTGTTAGTCCAATAAAAGCCTTAATTGACACCAGCCTCTGAAAACGCCTCGTTTTTAAAAGTGGGGAACTATGACGTCGAACTCGAAGGGGTTAATTTATACTTTACCTTTGCAGTTTATATAAACCACACATCTCAGATATTTCAACAGTATAGCTAGCCTATCTTTATTATTATTTATTATGAATTTATTAACCAAACTTCAACATCATATGGGCAGATCCTTTTAGCGCTGCTGATGACACTGGAGTGACGCTCGAGTGATCAAGTACTCCAATGTAAAAAAGCTTTTATTCGATTCCTCTGTCCTCCTTTCCTTCCCTCGTGTCCTACAGGGGGTGGAGCTGAGACGCAAGGAAAGGAAACGAGGATGCACAAATAAGAAATGAGAAGCTCATCTTCACAAAGCCAGAACCATTCATTGTAAGCCGGATTTTAGAATGTTTTCATCTGATTTAAAGTCCCTTTTTTCTTCATTTAAAAATTTGTCAAAACCATTAAACTCTAAGGTTTCTAGAACACATAATATTTTGGAGTCTGTGGTAAAGAACCTTTAATTTGGTTATTTTTACAAATTGTAATATGTTATTTTGTATAACTTAATGCAATCTATTTTGATGTCTGTAACCCCTCTATTATTGTTTTTGTATTTTTTTTTCTCTCTGTTTGCTGTTATTGTATTTTTTCTTTAATTTGCAATTAAAAAAAAGAAAGAAAAAAAGAAAAAAAAAAGAAATGAGAAGCACCCAACGCCTACTTCAACACGGCCGGTTAAGCCCCGCCCACCGATTCGCGCATTACACGCATAGCTAAGTAGCCTAACATACATGCCTACCTCGTGATGACAAACCGGATCGATCTAACGAGCGATACTGAATATTTTGCAGTGCCTGGTTGTGGAAGAAGACAGTCGCTGCATAAGCTTCCTCTGGATTCCAATAGGACTGCATGGATAAACTTTATTTTTAATGACGTTCCAGCTGATGAGGGTAAAACATCGTCGTCTGTTCGCTTCATTTCACTGAGGATTGTTTTGTCAACAAGACTGGATTTGCAGACCGATTAAGAGTAAAGAACGTGCTGTGCCGTCTGGATCTGACAGGAATTGTGCAACACACGGACTCTGGGTTGAACATGTATGGGCGAATCCGGTTGCCATTTGACAACATTGGACGTTTTCCCCCACGTGCACCGACGGGTGAGTTAAACTCATTATAATATGCAAAACTGTTCTCCACTCACAGCAGTGGCGTTTATTTCCAAGTCTTCAGTGTGAGACGCCCATAAAAACCGACTGTTTTTCAGGAAGGCTCACAACTTGGGTACAAAATAGCCTATTACTTGTTCATTTGGATGTTCTTGAATGCAAAAACCAAGCGAACGTCATAAGTTGACCTCAGACAACAATATAATAACATTTAAAAAGCCAGTTCCTGACCCCTTTAAATATACTGTTGTAAATATAGACTTAATTGATATTGGGCCAATCATCAACCGAACTCAACTCTTCAGCACAGTGGTAACTCCAAAAACTCAGACATACCAGAAAACATTTTATATTCCAAAATAATACAACATTAAACACTACCAGATCTTACTGTATATTAATAAGTATGTGTATACAGTCGTGAACAGAATTAATCATACCCCTGGTAAATATGATATACAATGGCTGTAAAAAATAAATCTGCACCGTTTATTCTTTAGCTCTTTCATTAAAAAAATTGGCAAAGTTCTAACCTTTTGTTTAAGTAAAAGAATTGAAAGTACGGGGGAAATCACATTATAAAATAAATGTTTTTCTCCAAAACACGTTGGCCACAATTATTCATACCCCTTGAATGTTTTATGTTTAAAATGTCTATGAAGTATATTCCCATTCATATTTACCTTTTTTTTGCACACTAGGGTGACTAGGAACGTGAAATTGTCGAGTCATGAGTTCTTGTTTCACTGGAGTTTAAATATGAGGAAACACAAAGGCCAAATTTCCTGAGTCATCCATTACAATGAATAAAACCAAAGAACATGGTTCTGATGTGCATCAAAAGATTGTTGAGCTACACAACATAGAAAATCGATGTAAGAAGATAGCTAAAGAATTTAAAATTCCCATTTTGACCATCAGGGCAATAATTAAGAAGTTAATCAACTAAAGATGTTACCATTCTGCCAGGAAGAGGGTGTGTGTCTATATTTTCTTAATGGACGGTGAGGATGAAAGTTTGAGTGGCCAAACCCACATAGCAAAAGGACTCCGTGGCGGATCTGCCGAAACGGATCCGTATCGGGGTCCAATTGCTAGCTCGTGGCTTCGCGCTGCATCCGCTCCGCATCCGGGATTCAAAATATACATCCGCCGCGGACCCGCAACGGACTCATACAAATTCTGGCTCATCTGGCCCGGGTCTGTTTTGGACCCGTTTATCTCATTGTTAAAATCCCTTCTGTTCTTGCTTTAGGATGTAAAATATGATAAACTAGACTATAGGATACAACCAAAAACTATCAATAGGGCTGTCCTAGGCTAGTACAGCATAGACCAGCAATTCTAAATAAGCTTAGAAGAGTTTCAATTCAAGACATACATTTATTGTACATAAGTAATCCCTAGCCTACTCAATGGAAATATATAATTTAGATTAACATTTATGGAAAGTTATAGCCTATTCTGGTTTTGTTAAGTAGCCTATCTGGGCTAAGCTAATCTACATTCATTTTGTCGTTATAACCTAATTTAGTGCTTTATAGGCCTAGGTCGGTACAAACAAAAAATATTTGATCTATTAGGCTACAACTTCAATGAAATGCTGCACTATAAACAGATAAACTATCAGAAAGTGAGTGAACAACTTCAACAACAAGAGGTTCAATCAAAATGTTTTATTGTTTATAATCACTCCTATATTTGTGTGGTTGGAGGCGGGGCACGTCTCCTCGTTGCCCGACCTGCCGCCAGGTTGAACCACCTGATCGTGTGCTTGGTGACCTCTGCATCCGTGGCCGACCCGACCGTGTCATCGTGTTTTTCCTCACAGCACCTGGAATAAACAATACCGATATGTTAGTTTATGGTATGTATAGGTGGAATATTAAACGGAAATACAGTAACACATAGCTTTGGTGCGCAAGTTGATAAGAGAAAACCGCCCGTGGATTGGGCACGCCGCGGGACAGACGCGTAAATCGAGCCCATCCATCTCTCGTCAGTTAACGTTAATAACGTTATAAGCTACATGGCACGTTTTATTTTATTTCCCATTGACATCCGACTGAAACAACAACCTTTCCCCTGATGTCTGTTTAAAGGCATGGCTTTTAGTTTATCAGCTCGTGCGTCTGTGCCGCTGCGCACTCAATCCACTGCGTGTTTTCCTCTCATTAGCTCGCGCAGCACAGTTTTTGTGCCATGGGCTTTCACAGGATGCGGAATGCGCGCCGCGGGGCTACAAACCCATTAATTTCAATTGCTTGCGCCGCGTAAGGACGTTTTGTTGCTGCATCGAAAAGCAAGTAGGGTTAGAAGCTGGAAGACGATTTCGGGATATCTAAATATGTTTAGTAAAAGGTAAAACTTTCGAAATCTCTGTGTAAATATTGAGTGACGTCACACGCAAGCGATCACTTCCGGCGTAACATTGAACTGATTCAGTTCGGTTCAGTTGGACATTGAACAACTGATTCAGATCACTGTGATTACACGAGGTAAAACGATATAAATACTGTTGGTTTTCTCACACAAACCGCTCGTTTCGTGTCTTAGGCCATCAGTGTGTACTTACATTTACGAGTCATTAAATCATGTTTAATTTGGACTTCTCTGTGCTGCTCTTTGAGGTGAACCCCCTAAAGCCGTATTATATAGGGGTGGCATGGTTCACGAAACCGACGGTTCGGTTTGTATCACGGTTTTAGGGTCACGGTTTTCGGTTCTGTACGGTTCTTGTTTTTTTTTTTTTTTCTTTTAATCTTTAACACTCCAGAAATGTACTTCAGCATGTGATGTATAGCCTAATTATCCACACTTTAGGATACAGTATGAAAAAAATGATATTCATGCAATCATGCACAAACTGAATTTGACTCTTTGGCTTTAAGCACATTTTGGGACTATCTCAGAGGAAAGCTATAGGTGAGATTTTGACACAGCAAGAGAGAAGACATTGACATGCTTTTCGTTTATTTGGCAAAAAAAAGGAGAATGTGTATCACTTATGTCTACAAGAACTTGTGCATTTTTATCACACAAATCTTATTTACACAAAGAAATTAACTTGCATTTATCAACTGCCAACTTTTGTAGCTCTTACAAAAATTCTATCTTTTAAAAGAAAAAAAGAGGAACTCTTAAAACACTGTCTTTTATGAATAAGTCAATATACTGTACATGAACCCTCATTGCCTATAACTATAGCAATAGCAAAGGCCATAAACATAAAGTTAAACATAATTTCAACCTCAACACAAAAGACA